CCACGATATGCTCCAACCCGAGCTGTATGGAGCTCTTTGCGCGGCAGCAAAGCAGGGCCGAGTGGTCTTCATTGGAGGAGGACCCAACTGCAGGACATGGTCCATCCTGCGCCACATACCAAAACCGGGGGCTCCCACCCCGGTGCGAGGGCGCACTCCAGAGACACTCTGGGGCCTTCCACACCTGGACCAGGCCGCCCAGACTCAACTTGATGATGACAGCATCCTCATTCTGAGACAGATGTACATCACCAGCCTGGCAAGGGCCTCACGAGCGGCGGTTTCTCTGCCAGGGCCCAGGTCCTTCCTGGAACACCCGGAGGACCCAGTGGTGAGCAGCTCGCTGCCCAATGCCAAGGAATGCTCATCCTTCTGGATCACAGAGGAGGGGCAGCTTTGGATGGAGGAGAACTCCTTGACAGCAATCTCCTTCGACCAGTGCCGCCTGGGCCAGCTGGTCAAGAAGGCCACTACGCTGGCCACGGATCTCCCGATCCAGGACTGGGATCAAATGCGGTGCACGCATCAGTCACATGTGGGCACCAACGAGTCCTCGACTCTTAGCAGATACCCTTGGGATATGATGGCAGGCCTGGCCAAAGCCATCGCTGTGTCACTCGCAGCGCCGGGGCACATCCGGATCCCCTCACAACTTCCGGGAAACCCCAAGGGACCACCTAAGGGGCGGGGGTCGGACCCCCCGGAGGGCCATTCCCCCCGGGGAAAACGGGGGCCCAGTCAAGGAGGTGGTCCCTCCTCATCACACCAGGGCTCAAAGCCCGGAGGCAAGAACGCCCCGAAGCCCCGCCTGCACGGGCAGTTCCACCCTGAGGCAGACACCGTAAGCCCTCGTGGAACAATGAACCCAGACTTCCCATCTCCCATGCCCCCGATGGCCGGAGATGCGGAACAACTGGGGAAGGAGGGACAGGGGGACCAGGTCCTGGACCGCCCCGAATGCCTGCCCGCTTTCAGGGTCCCACACCTCACTGACCGGGTGGCGATTGTCCAATTGGGTTTCCGCTCACGCCCCCTGAGGGATGGGGGGGGAAAACCTTCCCCAGGGAGGCTCAACCCCCCTTTTCGGAGAATTTCCCCATTGGCTACTTTGGGCGCCCTGATCATGACCCTTACCCGGCCCTGGATTGACAAGGTCCGAATGTCCCTGGCATCAGGTGCCACCACACACCCCTTCCAGGAAGCCGACCTCGAGGAGCTGCGGGCTATCCTAGGACCGAGGCACCTCCATGAACGATGCCCAGGACAACCCTTCCTCCTGGACTTAGTGTCGCACTTGGCATCCCTTTCAGGTGACCCTGATTGGGAGTTCCCCCTAACACTGAAAGAGGGGGTCCCCTTGGGAGTCTCGGACCCTACCTTGACCTCCCCGGGAGTTTGGCCCACTAAGGAGGAGCTTAAGGGAGAAGCCTGGCTGGGGGAAGATCCCCCCCCGCCAGTGGCTCATGATAACTACCCAACGGCTGAACTCTTTGCCAAGGAAATCGAATCAACCTTTTACGAGGAACGAGCCTTGGACATGGTGGACGGGCCCTTCACTCGCTCCGAGGCGGCAGAGAGGTGCCGCTGCAAACCGGAGGAACTTTGCCCGGGCCCCCTTGCAGGGATTGATGAGTCGGACAAGATCAGGACGATCTATGATGGCTCAAAAGGGGGAGCAAACGCACATCCAGGCTCACACGGAGGAGAAGACCACCGCACCGATGGTTGGAGACTGCCTCCATGCCATCCACTGGCTCAGGACAGCGGCGGACCATCCTCATCTACTCCGAGCCCCATCCTCGGGCACTGATGGGGAACCTCGGGATGTTCACCAGCCGGTGCAGGGGCAGTCCCCAGGTGCCGAGGGCCCTGAGAGGGACCCCCACAGCACCAGCCTGCCCTGATAGGGGCAGGCGGATGATGGAGCCTGGACGTCTCTCCGCGGTCAACACCCTCAGGGAAGGGGCCACTCCCAGGTGCCGAGGGCCCTGATAGGAGGGCCCCATTCCCCCCAACCCCCCCAGGCACGGAACGCCCTGGGGGGAGCAGGGGGGAACCCCTGACGTGGCAGCCGCCGACACAGGGGGAAACCTTCATCATCCTCAAGGCGGATGTCACCAAGGCCCACAGGCGCATAAAAGTGCTCCAGAAAGACTGGAAATACCAGGTGGCCTGCATCCAGAACCGGTGGTGGGTCAATAGAGTGGGCACGTACGGCATGGCCTCGGCACAACTGTACTGGGGAAGAAAGGCATCCTTGGTGCTCAGACTCTTGTACTACATCTTCCCTCAGGTGGACTGGCACTTAGTCTTTGTGGACGACTACTGCTGGGTCCTCAGATGCAGCAGGGCGGACTGGGACGCCACAGCCATCCTGGCCACTCTTCTGGCGCTGGGAGTCCCGCTTTCTTGGAAGAAGACGGCGCTCTCCCCGGTCAATACCTGGTTGGGATTCGTGGTGGACCCAATCACGCCCTGTGTGCTGCTGGCTCCAGTCAAGCACGTCATAATCCTGGCCACTCTCAAACGGCTGGCCCAGGGGGACATCTTTACCAGCAAGGAGGTGGAACAAGCCCTGGGCCGGATTCAATGGGCTACTTCGGCGTGTCCATTGACGAAACCTTTCCTCCAGCCCTTTTGGAGCTGGAAGAAGGCCTGCACCACTTCGGGCAGGCCACCGAAGCTGGTTCGTGCTCTGGCCATCCTTCTGGGGAAGCTCTTCAACCAGAGGTTCCCACTGGCATCTCCATTTGCTCCCACACTTCCATGGACGGGGGCATCTGATGCGGGAGCTGGCAAACAGGCGGACCATGCATGGGTTGGTGGTTGGTGCTCGGACGTGCCCAACCCCGACAAGTCCCGAGTGAAGTGGTTCCAACACAGAATCACACCGGAGGGCGAGCCGTGGGCCTTCACTACTGGGGACCCGCAGCGGGCGATAGCGGCCTTGGAGCTCTTCGGCCTCCTCCTTTTGGTGAGGGCTGTTCTGCTTTGTGCAGCCGGCTCGGCTTCTCACACTAGGATTCTGGTTGCTAGTGATAACCAGGGAAACGTTTTCTCCCTGCTTAACGATTCCACTCGCAGGATGCCCAATGCGGCCATCCTCATGGAAATTGTGTTAACACTGCATGACCACCAGGTCATGTTAGGACCGTCGCATGTGAAGCGCGACTTTAACACATGGGCGGATGAACTTACTCATCCGGACCCGCAATTTCCGACTGAGAACCGGGTCTTCCCCTCAGTCGAAAGCGAATTGATCAAGCTGATCTTCGCTACTTTCCTTCCTCACCCATGATGCCGGGAGGGCATCCGGTGAGGTGGGAGGATTCCTCCCTCGCTGTGGGAGTGGCATCAATTCTACTCCCATCAGCTGCTGAGGGGAGCTGCCCAGTGGAGCTGGGCAATCCTCCCATTTTGGCACTAATCCTTATGCGGCGTAAAGGATGCACCGTTTCGCGATTAAGGTACCAGTAGCACCAATGTGGTGCTTTGAAGAGTCAAGCGCAAAAACGCAAAAACACAAAAACATAAAAACACAAAAACACAAAAACACAACACACACACACACACACACACACCCACACACACACACACCACACACACCCACACACACCCACACACACCCACACACACCCACACACACCCACACACACCCACACACACCCACACACACCCACACACACCCACACACACCCACACCCCACACCCACACCCACTCCCACACCCACACGCACACGCACACACGCACACACGCACACACGCACACACGCACACACATACCCGGTGGGGTCTCATCTACCCTCTGCAAGAACCAGGCTTCAAATCCTAATCCACACCAATATCTAAACCACCAACTAAGGGGTAGCTGATTTCTGTGTTGTCACCCAACTTACCGGTGCCAAGCCACTGGAAGCAAAGAAGAAGGGGTACGTGTGTGTGGATTGGGATTTGAAGCCTGGTTCTTGTAGAGGGTAGATGAGACCCCACCACACCACCTCCAAAACCACCAGTCCAAACCACCACTTAAGGGAAACTTAATTTAGAGACCCAGCGGCCATTTGTTTCGGGCTCCGTTTCGATACATCCAACAAAGAAAGAGGCAAAAAACACAAGTCCTGCGCTTGCCCTGAACTCACTTGATCACTACTAGTAGCATTACTAGTGCTAGTATACTACTAGTACTAGTACTACGACTACTACTACTACCACTACTACTACTACTGCTACTTCTACTACTATGGCTAGTACTAGTACTACTTCTTACTAGTACCAGCGCTTGTCAATTTGAAGCTCGCTGCTGTACAAAATCAACTGGAGGACGGTGCATCTTTTCGGGACGAACCCAGCGTGCGAAATGTCAACCTGTTGGGCCAATGCTGCTCGTTCGAATCCCGGGTAGCGGGTCCCTAGGATTGGGTTCCTTAGGGAGCCTCAGGGAAACGACCAAGTTCACTGGAAGAAAAGGAGTTGTTCATGCGGAAGCCACTGGGCCAAGTTGCTCTCTTCCGGGTCAGCCACTGGAACAGAACCTTTGGCTTTCTCTTCCTCTTTCGGAAAAGCCAGGAAGGGCGCGGATTTCACTTCTCCCCACAAGGGAGATTGCGCCACTTGCTCTTTATCCACTGTTTGAATGCCGTGCCACTTTGAGGCTTTGAGGGACTCAGCCAGTGCCACCCGGATTTCTCAATTTGTCCTGGGATCTTCCTTCATTTGAGCCACAATCAAAACCCGAGCAGATTAAGGTTAGCCCCAACCACAAAACTTGGCGGGGGCCGCCTTTTGAAGTCTTTTTATTGATTTGGGTACGTTTCTCCCACCAACATGGCACCTGAGGGAGGGTACCTGGAAGATCAGTTTCCTCTTGGAAAAAAAACGTCAGGTGCCATGTTAGTGGGAGGGATGGTACGCCAAATGTTATGCCGGGTGTTGATTCTTAATTTCATGTCCTTCCATTTGTTTAAAGACTATTTTTTAATGTTCCCCCTGTTTTTTTTAGGAATCGATCACTGCTGGACATTTTTTATTTTCTTCCAGCGGGCTTAAGCAAGTGGAAGTTTCCTGAGGACGGGCGGCGGATCTTGTTTTGCCTGGACAGCTGCAATGTGAAGGTGGTGGACGCCGACTCCGGGGATCTGGTCAGCCTGTGCCAGGGCGGAAGGCAGGGAGATGCTAAGTTCCAGGGGTACCTTCTCCATTCTTTCCAGGGATCCGAATTTCTTTTCAGGAAACCATCAAAAGCCCAGGGGAAAGAGCCGGTTTTTGAAAAGAACGATGGTTGAAAAGAATGGGGAATCAACCCCTAGATGAGTCGGAGACGTATTGGAGGGCCCAGGGAATCCTTCCCCCCCAGGTTGAAGGTTGGGGGGTGCCTTTTACGAGGTTTCCCTAAGTTGGCGGTTTGTAGAAGGCGTTTGGGATCGGTGTTTGGGATTTGAACCCCTTGTAAAGGGTAAATGGGAAGCCACTCACCACACAACCACACACCACAGCACCAGCACCACCACCACCGCCACCGCCGCCGCCACCACCACCACCACCACCACCACCACCACCACCAAAACGGAAGCTGAAGTTATGCTCTCGCTTCATTGAGGATCACCCCATAATCCATACACCTCCCCCGAAGTATCCCCCCCTGTCGTTTTTTTTTTTTTTTTAATACTAAAACTTTTTTTTGAGGTCCCCTCGGTTTTCCCCAAGCCAGGGCAAAAAAACAACCATAGCATAGGGCCCTGCCTTTCATGTTCGTTGGCCGGCACAGCTCCAGAGCCGCAGCGCAAGCCGACGAAAGGCAGGGCGTCTCACTCCCTACCAGTGCCTCTAGCTCAGGATTCTGGGATCAAGGGCTGTATCCCCACTTCTGTGATACTGTATGAGGGAATCCCCCTTTAGAAGAACAAATTGGTCTCTGGGAAGCCCTTTCTGTTGTATCGCAGAAGTGGTCATTCCCCACGGCCCTGCATTAGCTTTTCTTTTTTGCGGCCCCAATTCCAGTCCCAAGTCTATCGGGGACGGTGTTTCGTGGCTTTGAAGCTTTCCAGTGGATTGGATGGCGAGCCAATGGAGGCAACACGTGTTCCATGTTGAAGGTCTGCAAGGGACTCGCTTCCACCCAGAACCATGTTTCTTAGGTGTCATCGGTCTCTTTTTTGGTCGAACATAGATGTTATGGTTGTCCTCTATTTTTGGTGGTGTTGGTCGAAAATAGGTGGCGATGCCTGGTTGACCGATCGGTTGAAATCTGCCTTTTTTCCGACGGGTCACCTTGACGGTTGTTGTTGGGAAACATTTTACGTTTTTCCTTATTGTGGTTTCGTGGTTGAAATCCAACCACTTAACTGCTAAAATGTTATTCATTTTTTTGCTCCCCTTCCAACGTCATGGGAAAGCTTGCTATTCAGCTGGCTTTTCTCTCTGCTGTTCGCAAGCGGCGGAGGCACCACATCACTTCCGCAGGCTTCTCTCCAGATGCGCTGCAGGCACGGTCTGTAGTCACATGGGTGGGCAATGGTGCCAGCGGAGCCTTGTGGCTGGGCCAGGTGTGTCACCTCTCTCTTTTTCTAGCTCTTGACCACCAAGTTGATGATCTTCATATGGGTATGGGTCAAATTAAACCAGGGGACCGCAGGTTTGAGTCCTTGGAACCCACAGCCACATTGGTCTGGGAAGGAGAAGTAGGGGAGTTGGTATGACTGACTCGCAGTTGGAAGATCTTGGAAGTCACAGTGAGCCTTGGCCGGCAGCACAAGTCGGGTGCTTTTTGGAGACAGAGGTCTCAATGCTTGCATGTTTCGGGGGCAAAGAGCGGCATGTTGTGGAGGTGGTATCCTTGTCAAACATCAGACAGGTCTTGCTTGGTTTTGGTTGCTTTTGGGTGGCAGGTTCGGGCCTTGAGGCGCCAGGGCCCCAAACCAACTGGAAAGCTGAGAACGACGGAGCCTTTGCTTTGCCCGGGAGGTGGTTGTGTCCTACTACGAGCCCTCGGCCAAAGTCTTCTGCGCGGCTTCCGGGCAGTGTGTCCAGGAGCGAACCCAAACCTAAAATGACGGAATCAAATTCGGGTTTCGCATTCTGATGTGGGGGAGATGTGCCTTTTTTCCAGGGAATGTAAAACAAGGTTGTTTTGAACCTTACTTCGCCCTATTGGGAACCATTTTCTCGCCTTGCTGAGCGAAACTCGAAATCCGGAGCTTGGCCGGCGCTTGCTCAGCAAGAAGTCAATGGATGCCACAAGAAAGCGACAGCAGATGGAAGGTTCCCAGCCTTGTTTGGTGCCCTCTTTTTGATCTTGTTCCCGCATCAGCCAATTCCCCCCTCAGACTACAATTCAAGCGGATGTAAACAGGCGCCAATCGCTTGATTGGTATCCAAGTGATCGGCGTCGAGGCTTGGCTTCCTGCCAAGCTTTCGCGATTCGCCCGGTGAAGGTAACTATGCAGGTAACCCTCAATTTCAGCAGGTCTCCTTACAAGATGCATCTTGACCATTTGAAACATGTTGCTTTTTCCACACCAAAATACGGGGAAACAACACCATTTACAAGTTGCAACGTTCAGGTGGGATATGCATCCGGATCCCTGGTAACCCTCAATTTCAGGTTGCCCTTCGGTACTTTGGATTGGAAAATTTGGACCTCGGCTCTTGAAGAGCTTAAGATCCAAACCCGCACGCCGGCAAGTTGGGCTTTGGATGGGCGTGTCGAGGTGATCCCCGGTTGCACGGCTACGTGGGAAACCACTCCAAACCACCAAACCAATCCAAACCAGCAACCAGGGGGAAGCTGAATTAAGGAATTACCTCAATTCAGTGTGGTGCTGTTGGTTTCTCTTGAAAAGAGGACCCCTCAAAAAGCATCTTTAGATTTTAACCCTGCATCGCAGTTGTGCAGAGCAATTGCGCAGCGCGCACCGCACCGGAATTGCGCAGCACCGCTGGCTATCAACAACTTAATCAGAATAGTGAGGAAGATGACCTCCACCCTCCTTTTCTTGCAGGTGGGGGACGTTTGATATCTGCTCACTTGGCCCCTGCTTGACTGAGAACATGTCATTTGGTTTGGGGCAAAAGTGTTGAGCTACTGTGGATGGACCAAATCCCGCACCACTTTGAAACCATAGGATACCACTGTTCGTCGGCATTTACAGGGGAATCATCATTTCAGGGTTTCTTTGGTGGTGCGAAGTGGATTTCGTCCATCCACAATAGCTCAGGGGAAACTACGCGTTGGCAGGAGAGTTGCCCGATACTGTGGATGAACGGAATCCACTTCGCACCACCCAAAGATCTGACATGTTGATTCTCCTGTAAATATTACCGAACAATGGTGCCTCATGGTTTCTTAGGTGGTGCGAACGCATTTCGTCCATCCGCAGCATTCTTCAGCCCCTCGCTTGCTAAGATCGCGAGGAGCTGGACCACAGCGACGTGGTCTCCCTTGCGGCCTTTGCATGAGCACTCGGCCCAAAGGCCACAGAAAAGAGGAAAGAAAGAGACAGGTAAGAGATAGTGAGAGAAAGGAAGGGGACGGGAGGACCAAGAAACCTATTCACATCCCGTCCCTTCATCTTGATCTCTTACATTCCTTTCTCCTATCCATCTTCCCCAGGCATCGGCACGATGGGGTACCGGGTCCCGGCCAACAGCCGGAAATCTCGCCAGATTGGCCTCCGTAAATGGATCCAAGTCTTCAAATTTTCGGGGTCCGTTCGGGAGCTTCCACGGAATCACCTGGAGGGTTTGAAAGTTCTCCAGGAAAACAGGGGTCCATGATTGAACTCTGCACGAACCTAGCCCTTTGGCAGCCTGGTACTTGCTCTGCTGCTGGGTTGGATCTTTAGACTTTAGCTTTTGGATTTCCCTCATATGTCCTTTTAACCTGCAAAAAGTTAAACTTTTTGCTGGGGGATCTACAGCACCCAAGCTTGGGGCTAAAGTCCGAAACTGAGCTTGTTTACCGCTTGGCCTGACTTTGGCTGCGAACTCAGTAGGCTAGGATCTAGGGGTGGAAAAGGGGGACTCACGCAAAAGATCCGGCAAGAACCAGCACCTTTTAGAGAGCCGCATCTTTTGAACGGCACCAGTTTCTTAATTTCGCTGCGTGCCCGCGTGGAGAACTTAGCTGGGACGCCTGGCTGCCAGATTGGACAGGGGGTGTTTCTCAAACAGGACTCCAGGCTGCTTTTCCTGTGGTACAATCAGGAAAAAAAAAACAAGTCAACCACATCGTTACCTCGATACTGTTGACACCGAGAATGAATGTTGTCTCTGTGTGGTTGTTGTTACCTTTCTGATCCGGGGTCAACATTAATTTGAAACACCCTCTGCGCATTTGCTTTCAGAAAGAGCTTGCATTTGGGCCAACGAAAAAGGGAAGGTTCTCTCTGCTTGGTGGCCGAAGAAAGAGAGAACCGTATTGTTTCAGAGTCATGTCAGGGCTTAGTTCTTCAAAGTGAATCCAAATTCGCCCATGTCTTCCTTTCAGGTCTTCAAACAGTTGCTTTTCACAGGTTAGCTTTGAAATAGCCAGGTCCTTTTTGGGCAAGCCATGCTCCCCGCAAAGCTCCATCGTTTCGGCACTGTTTCACCGGCAAGCGACTGCGACACAAGCTTGGCAGGCCGGTTCGTTTCCGTTCACAGTGTCCACGTGGAAAAAGGTCCCACGCCGCCCGCGAAGTCCGTTGCATGGCACGCAACATGAGTTATGTTTTGGTGGCAGCCTCCCTTAAAAAAAGGTGTGATTGCGGCAGGTTCCCATTGATGTGGTTTGGTTGGTTAGTCTGTCATTGGTGGCCGGGACTTGCTTTCTAATCAAACGCCCGGTGCCGGGTGCCCGGGCATGGTTTTTGCATTCGGCACTCCATGGTGAACAGCAGGAGCATGGATTTGTGTCCGAACAAGTTTGAGGCTATATATTCCCTTTAAAGTTTCTAGCAATTTGAGAACGTGACAACATTAGGACCTAGGATTTCCTCCAAATGCTCGGTGCTGTGCGAGCAGTCAGTATTCGCCAACATCGTCGGTAAGGGGTCGATATGGCCTCAACAGATTGCCCGACCTTTTTCCAAAGAAGGGACGAGCCCCGCCCAACTGTGGACGATGTCGTGGTTTGAAGGGACGCACCACACCACACACACACACACACTTTCAATATAGGCTTTGCTTGGTGGGTGCGTGATTGTGTGTGTATCTTTCGGTGTCTGTTTTTTGGTTTGCTTGCCTGCTTGTTTGTTTTTTCTGTCCGTCTGTTTGTTTGGGTTCTCTCCAGGCAACCCTTCCGACTCACAGCACAAAACGGAGTTCGTCAGCTGACCTTTAAACAGGTTCTAACAAACGGATTCCTGCTTGCAGCAAAGGACAGTATAACGGAGACCCCATCTAAGGTGTTCGCCACGGGTCGCCCGTTCCAATCAGGAACCCCTTAATTGCCGTATTGGATTGGTTTGGGGATTTGACCCCCCTTTTGTAGAGGGCAAATGGGGTGAAACCCCCTCCTTAATCACCAAACCACTCCCCAAATCCACCTGGATCGATCCAGTTAGTTGCGATCGCTTTGTTCCATCCACTCCCCAAAACGACTGAAAAAAAGGCCGCAACTTGGCGATCTGGGCAAGGTTCCAACTTGGGAGTGGGTCAAAATCAAACAGCAGGGGCAAGCCGCAGGTTTTGGTCCATGTTTCCACTTAGGGTCCATTTTGGTACCCCATTTTTGGGAAGGGTTCCCCTTTAAACTCAACCAACCAAAATAAGCTCCGGCGATATCCCCAACAGCACGCCGTGCTCTTGTTAGTGCTCGCACCACCCCGCAGCCCTCGCAGAACCTCGTCTGGAAGCCCAGTGCAACCCTGGTGGAACCCTCGTGGAACCAGACCCAGCTATTGGGAAAAAAGGATGCCCTTTTTCCCTGGCCACTGGGCATCTGAGGTACCTTTTTTTTGAGCCACAGCCATTTTGGGAGGTGGGCCGGTCCGGTCCCCAGGCTGGTCCTCCGTTCCCTGCGCGCAGGCCGGCTTGCCCTTCAGGCCCCCGCCTGCCGGTCATTTCTCCCGCGTAGGCGCGGGCACGTGGGCCTGTCTGAATAAGCTGGGAGCCATCAAAATGGGTTGCCATTTTTTGGTTTCCCTGCAAAACTGTCCTTGTTGGTTTTTGCTGCAAAACTTTCCTTTTTTGGTCTCCCTGCAAAACTTTACTTTTTTGGTTTCCCTGCAAAACTTTCCTTTTTTGGTTTCCCTGCAAAACTTTCCTTTTTTGGTCTCCCTGCAAAACTTTCCTTTTTTTGGTTGGTGTCCCTGCATTTGTTTTCTTTTTTTGTCTCTCTGCAAAACTTGTTTTTTGTTGGTTTCCCTGCAAAACACCAAAGAGTAATTACCCTCAAACAACCCGAGGTTGGAGAAACGTTTTTTTTTGTCCCCCCGATTCGCCGCTGGCCGAGGGAATCCTGTGTATATATATATATATATATTATCCGATCCTGTGTGGGAGAGATATCCCCCTCGGGAAATACCTGAATCTTCCAGGTGTGCATTTTTCCCGCCGATTTCAGTCCGTTGGTCGAAAAATAAATCTTTTCACTGCAACAGCTTTGTTTCATGGTCGGGGGATTGTCGCCGTTTGGTCGGGCAAATCGCCGTGTCGCCTTCATGGACTTGTCCCAGAAAAGCACAAAAGTGAAAAGGTGCCTGGAGACCCAAAAAGTGTCCTTTGTTAGCTTTTTACGAAAAGGCATGACAGATACACACTTTGGAAGATTCAGGGATGTGTCTCTCTCATTTCTTGGTGCTCCTCTTTGTAAGGTTGGTTTGAAAAGGAACCAAATAGGAAATCAGAATCCGCAGACCATATGGCTAGTAAGGGGTGCGGCGTGCTAATCAGAGGTTTTGGGCGCATTATCTTGGCTTCTAGCGTTTTTTTTCGGGGCTGCTTCGCCTGGTTTGATGGGTACAGGGGTTTGACAGAGTCGTGCCTCCGTTTGAGGCATTGCTTAAATTCCATGATAGAGAGGGTTCCGAAGAAGTCGTGCCTTTTTCCAAAACGCATAGGAACTCGGCATGTTTGAAGAAATAGGCTTTTGGGAGGCATTGAGGTTGAAAATGCTTATTCTTATTCCGTTGGGTTTAGGATGGTTTCGGCATGTTCTATTTTATCCGCCAAGGAGCGTTGACTGACAGTGTGTTTCGCACTCTTGAGACATGATGTGTTTTTGCTACAGCTGGCTCGAGTCGGCACCTTGCTTTTCCTCTTACCTGGACTAGCCTGGCGTGTGTGCAGGGCTGAGCCGGTGCGCTTGAGCGGGGGTGCTTACCATTTGGCTGGCGTGTGTGCAGCGCTGAGCGGGTGCGCTTGAGCAGCTGGCTTTCGCAGGTGCGGAAAGTGAGTCGAAAAGTGGGCGCGGCGCAGAAGTGAGTGAACTTGTGGGCACGGGCTCGGCACATGTGGGCTCAACTCTTCAACGGACGATCAGTGATCTCGTCTTGATCTCGTGTTGATCTCGTTTCTTGCCAGGGTGCCAGTTGCCTCTGACTATGCCTTATTTCCCCCCTCTAGCTATCTCTATTCGGAATATTTATTGTAGTTTCCAAGGGGGCGCAGAAGCAAATGGAGGTAGAGCTCGGAGGCTTTCAGCCCAAGGGCCAGCTTACATACCAAGTGGACATACTTCACACCTAGAGGCCTAGGGATGGTTTTTTGGAGCATGTCCCATGTATACCCCATGTGGCCATGGGGCATAACCTATGGCTCCATTTTGGGGTGAATGAACATCCATTTGCCACCTATCTTGATGCTCATCAGGGGTACGGGGTTTTGACCCCAAAATGGCCGCGGGCGCCTCGATCGGAAACGTCAGGTTTGTCCGCCGTGGCTGCCGGGGCCTTGGCGGCTCCGGGCAGTTGGCGCGGCCCAGTCGTGTTGCTGGCGTGAGAGATGCAGGGAATGATACATGGAATGACCCCTATAAACCATCCAACTGGTGGTTTCCTTTTAGGGAATCCCCAGGTTCGTTCCCTCATTTTCACCCGGTCTTTTGGTTCTGCGTTTGCTTTCCTTTGCGTCGAATGTTGCGGCAATTTCTGAAAGTGGCTTTTCTTTGGCGTGTTAGCGTTCCCAGCTTAGTCGGAGCAGCATGGAGCCTTGGCACGAGAAGTGCGAATGAATGCCTTGACTTTCCTTGCTTAGAGGCCATTTGGGGCCCAAAGCACATACATAGAATTACATAGAACTTTCATGGACCAATGGACCGTTTGGAATGCACAACCCCACGCTTGAGGCGCCCACTGCGCAACTCAGACAGTGGCTGGCCAATGCCTTGCCTAGGCTGACTGAGGGGGCTTCATGGTGACTGGCTGACGAACTGATTGACTGACTGATTGACCGGTTGGCTGGCTGCAGACCAAATGACGACTCTGACTTACTAATTGCCCGCCTGCCTGCCTGCCTGCCTGCCTGCCTGCCTGACTGACTGACTGCCTGACTGACTGACTGACTGACTGACTGACTGACTGACTGGCTGAAAGACCGACCGACCGACCGACTGACTGACTGACTAGGACAAGAAGCACCAGTCCAAATTCGCCATCTCCATTGCGAGCCAAAGATGCTACGCCGAGCGCCACGGCGGGGCTGCCTTGGAAGGGGGGCCGGATTCGCTTGCCGGGGAACCGGATTTGCTCGCCCTGGCTACCTGTGTGGGGTCTCCACAGACAATTGTCTTTTTACAAGGTGGAGCTTAATAGTGTCAACCTCGGATGAATCCACACACCAGAGAAAACCACGCCCAAGGTGTTTGTACGAATTCTCCGTTAATCAGAAGGAGATGTATTTTGGTTTGAGCTCAGCGCAGGGGCAACTCATCGACAGGGCCCCAGAGATACTCATGGGCCAACTGAAAAGCGCCTTCCTCCAGCTAATTTCGAGGCCACTTACCACAGCGCAGGTGATTCTTGCAGCCTGTAAGGCAGCCTTTTCGAACCGGGGCAGATGGGGGGGGGCAGCTGAAACCCAGAGGAGCCTCGTGTAAAACCAATTTGGTTTTGGATTCATCCAAGGAACCCTGGTAGATGCCCGATAGCCATCGCGGGGGGAAGTGCGTTTCATGCCCAAGAGGGTCACGGCACATGGCGATTCTGACCGCAACGCGGAAGCGGCGCGGGTTTGAAGCTGGTCGCTGCCATTGGCCTTCCTGGTGTTGAAATCCATGGAGGAAAATATGTGCGTTTTTGGTTGCCACTTTTTGCGATCAAAAGCCGCACCGTGCGGTCACGAAGCAGTTACAGGGAATCCAACTTTGGTACTAGCGAAGGACGAGTTCTGACCACCACGTTGAATTGTGTTGAACTCCGCCTTGTGTTGTACCTCCTGGGCATGGTTCGCTTTCCTTTTTCCGGAGAAGGATCAAAAGGTTTGCGCGGATGCGTGGCCAGGTTATGAGTATACACTCATCGACCCCTCCGAGGCTCAGCTATATACTGCCGCCTCCTTTCGGGGTGGGGCTAAATTTTGGTGTTAGGGAGCTCCGCTGATATTTTGAGGGCTGACCCACTTGCAACTATCCAACGTGAATTTCTGAATGGGCGAGACATGTTTTAGGAAAGGGGGTATGACTTTGTAGCAAATTGGGGTGCAAGGCCTGCTTTGCTGTGCGCCGGGCCTAAGTCAGCTGCGGGTATGTTTGTGCAACACGTATCGTGTCTGGCCAACAAATGTCTGGCTGGAATCTCCATGACCCTTTAAACATGGGTCCATGACCCTATCATTTTAGGCAATGATCCCCATTTTGAATGGGTCATGGAGACTCCAAGTGGCGTGATTCCGTTTGATTTTCCTAACAGCTTGAAGGGCTCGGGACCTGGACCACTGGAAATTGATGCCTTTTGGAACGGAACACTGGGCCTTTATAGCTTGGATACAGTGAGTGCTGGAGCTACCAGGCGTACAAGGCGTGCATCAGGGGTACACGATAGCCTTGATATTTGCGACCCTTGGGCCGCAGGCCTTGCATGTTTGACGCTTCCTTTGAAGCAGTCGTTGCTTATGATTGACAAGTTTTTTTTGACCATGGTAAATGGTTATGTGTCGAAATCAGGGAACCCTCAAAGTGGGTCTCCAACTGAACCAACCCTGGCTGCAGTAACCGGCACAAGGCACACGGACATGGGCTGCTTTGCCTGCTTATTGTGTCTCGTTTGGACCTCGCAAAAGGCTGCCGACCGCAGCTGTTCGGATTCCGATCTCACCGGTCAGGTGTCGTCCCCTCGTTTCTTCCTTCACCCCAGCTTGCCGGCCGAGCCGAAAACGGCAGGCGTCATTGGCTACTATCCGCTTCTCTCGACTGGTTTGAAGCCTGGTGGTTTGGAAGAAGCCTTCCCCTGCCCAGACAATTCATGTAGGCGTGTCTTTAGAGTTGGTATCCTTTTTCGGCTCATTTGAACGAAAGCCAAAGGGGAACCACTGTGGAGGGACACCCTCATACACCCCGGCCCCCGGCAAGATGTGCCCATGATGTTGGGGGGTCACTTCGGGTACGACAATGTGTCTCAACGCAGGGGGCCCACAAGGTGCTTTAACTTTTTGCAAACTAATGGGTGTTTCCATTAAACCACTAAAAGTTAAACTTTTAGCAGGGGAGCAGAAAGCAACCCAGTTTATACCAACCAAAAGAAGAAGGTCCCCGCCCCAAACGAAGCAAGACAACACATGAAGCAAAGGCGGCCATATAGTACCTACATGGGTTGTTGGTGGCACCCGCGGGGTCGGAAGCCGCGGCTGCGGATTCTTCGTTGCACTCTTGTAAAAGAGCCAGGAATGTTTTAGAAGAGGGGGACCCCCAAAAATAGGGGGATTCTGGTTTGCTTTTCCCTCAAAGCAAGGTTTTTTCCTTGAGACCGGTCTTGAAGTCAAATAATTAGGTGTTTTCCTTGTTGCTTGCCTTGAAAACCCACCCCTTTTACAGGGAGATGACAAAAGACAACCCCATTTTCCAGATGGGTGGCTTGTCTTTTTTGGAGGGTTCCCTTTTTGGTGTGGTTGGAAAGAGAAACCAAAGGGAACGCTGGCTTTTTTTGGCGGGGCTCCAACCCCTATTTTCACGAACTCAGTTGCGTGGGTACCCTTTATATAACTTTCACACCAAAAGCCTAAAAGGGGACACCCAGGACACACCCCGTTTTCCGGCGAGAAGAACCAAAGCGGATCCAAGGACTATCCGGCCTGCGCCAAGTTCCGGGACTTCTTCTTCCGGAAGCATTGCGGGGTGGCACGCTTCTTGGAGACCCGGCAGAAGGACTACATCCTGCCGCTTGGCCCGAGGCGAAGAGGAGGCGAAGAGGGCGGTCGTTCTCGCACTCCCCGCCGTTTTTTGTTTTGTTGTTTGTTTCCTTTTGATGCGTCAAAGGGTTGCCCTTCAAAAGCACACCCTGCAAGCAACAAGTCCGAGCGTTCATTGGCTAAGATGAAAGTGAGTTGTGGCGACCCTCCAAAATCAATGCTTGGTCCGCAGCTCTGGCAACTGTTGAGGGGCTCGTTTTTGGGGGGTGGGTCGCTTTTTCAATACAAGCCGAAGCAGAACACCCCCATTCTTTCGGTTTCTACGATTTTGAGACTGCATTTGAAGTGGCAGGGGGTTGTTCTCCGATTCTCCTGCAGTGCCCTGTTTTTTTTTGAGGGCGTTTTTTGCAAGTTTCCCATGGAAATCCACTGGGGGTCTGGATTATATTACATCTCTTTTGGTATGCATCCCCATGCGATGTCCCTTACGAAAGCCCCGAGCCTCGATGTCGGTGGATCAGTGCCACAGATGGGGATGTTGAGGTGCGCCTGCAGAGTTCGAAATTGTTGCTTTGCTAAATTGTTGTCTTTGATGTGACATCTGTTGGCGTGTCTCAAAACACGTTTGGTTTCCTTTCGGATTCTTTGCACGGCAAGACGGGCAGACCCCCCAAAAATGCAAGGTTTTCAGAACGGCGCATTAGCGCTTGCCTGTTTCGCTTCTTGCTAGGGTCTTTGGCCCAGGCATGTAGACGACTCGACCATACTCGGCCCATAGGCTCGCAACATCGCGTCGAGGTTTGTCTTTGACGGCGACAACCCGGTGGTGTGGATGGACAGAAGCCGCGGGCCAAGCGGGCCATAATCAACATTTGGGTTGATGAAAAGCAGCCAGACATAGTCCCAACCATCAACAGGTGTGGCCGCCCGCTTAATTTATTTCATGGCTTCGAGTAAGCCATTTTTTATACCAGGTTTGAGCGAGCTTTGAATTCTGGCTCTTACTTTGCCGTGGTATCGTTGTTATCCCATGGGATGTTGCTTGTTGGCATGTGTTGTTTTCGTTTGCTTGCATCAACAGGGGTGGTTGTTGTTGAGCTTTCCTTGGTGAAATGGACGCCATGCAAACGAAGAGACACTCTTTTGATTGCAATCTAGCGGGGGGATGCGGCGGGGATACTATATAGGAAGAAGCCTACAGTGCTACGTCTCAACTACCTACCGCAAGAGAGGCCTGAGCGTCTTTGTACGCCAAGGTATGCACAAGGGGGACATTCAGGGTGGCTTAACAGTATCAAACAAACTGTGTCAAAGGTAATGCAAAATATCGCACGCAGATGCAGGTGGCACCATGTTGCGTCGCACACGCGGAGCTGGCCGCAACATGCCGCATTAATTGAAGCATTAATTGAAGCTTGCGGGCGCTTGTGGGCGGCAGTGGGCGAGCGCCCATATGCGCCGCACACCCAAAAGCGCCCAAGAAGAGCCCCCACATGCGCCTAGAAGCACCCGCCAAGAGGAACGCCCACAGAGGCAACAGTGCTGCCCACAAGCGCCCGCAAGCACTCATCATGCACGCTTGCAAGACTTCCGTCCTTGTGGCCCACATGCGCCCACAAGCCCCACGAAGGAGCGCCCACAAGCGTCCGCAAGCGCTCATGAACATCGCCCGCAAGACTTCCGCCCACAAGCGTCCACCAAGACAGCCCACCAAGAGAGGCACAAAGGGAGCCGACAGCGCCTGCAAGCGTCCTTGAAGTGAGCGCCCACAACGAAATGCCATTCCTTCAAAGCAAGCCGAAACTGGCTGATGCTGGCCGAGGCGGGCAGCACGAAGCGTGTACAATAAAAATGTGTGCTCGCGGAGCTTACCCTTGCAAGCGCGAGCTCTACGTTCAAGGGCTGCTTTGTTTCCTGCTGTTTCATGTTTCTTTGCTGCTGTTTCCTGATGCTTCCTGCTTCTTCCAGCTCTTTGGAAGGCCCCGAAAACAAGAGGCCCCACAAGGGATTTGCTGATATATAGAAAGAGTAAAACATGTTTGTGCAAACTTAGGCACGCTGCATCAGCCTGCCGCATGTTGCGCAAAATTGCCGTGTTCTGTCGCAGGCACTATGCCGTTTGATACCGTCTAGCCACCGACATATTATCCCAGCAACTACTTGCTGGTGCGATAAGTAGGGAATGACACAAAAACCATCCCCTTTGGTTTCCTTTGGGACCAACGTCTGGGTTCATTACATTTCTCATTCCCTACCTATCGCACCAGCTGTAAATTATTTTTTGGTGGTTCCCAGCCATCCCCTTAGCTGGTCTCCACAAAGGGGCCTCCGGAACCCGTCAGGTCTTCTAATGTACAAACAGGCCCTCCGAAAGTGGTCTGATGCCCCACTACGCCCAGGGACACCCCCTATTGACAAACTCGGGTTGATGAATATGGGGTAAACATTACACACCACATATGGGTGTGCCTTGAAACAGGGGACCCCTCAAATTGTGGTCTCCCTTGGGTTGCTTGTTTGAACATGAGCCAACAAAAAAGGGTACCGAAAAATCCCCAAAAAGGACAGCCCGCCATCGCCCGCCATCAGTGCAATTCGGCAGGTTTGGACCACTGGCTGAAGGAAGTGTCGGCTACGGATGTGGTGCTTTACGAACGGTGGATGAACAATGAGATCATGGCCGGGCCGGGAAGTGGTTCGGGATCGGCTCCTGGTGGCCCGGGGGGGTAGGCTCGGACACAGTTGGGTCCGGCACGGGCATTTTTGTGTCCCATGTCTTGGGCGCTTTTTGCCAAGGGATGTTGGGGCTTCAACTTTTCGATCCAACTCAGGGGTTTTCCATTCAACCACGAAAAGTTAGCCACTTTTGGCAGGGGAGCAGAAAGCAACCGAGTTTTGTTGGGTCTCCTTCAACTGGTCAGGGAGAAAAACAGGTTCTAGGGTTTCTGGGAAACGATGCAGCCACTCCAGCCATGCAGCCAATGGACGGCTGCCTGTCTCACGGTCTGTTGTGAATGTGTTTGCTTGTGAGCAGCCTTTTTTTTGCACAGCCACAAAGGGGGCGTGGCCGTTGCTTGGTTGGAGCTTTGCACTCAACTTGTTGGGACACATGCATGTTTTCCAGCAAATTCTTCGACCCAACTCATGAGACAAGCAAACTCATGCAGCGCCGGTCTTCCGAGCGTTGGCATGTTGTTTTCCTCCCCACATGGTTGATGTGCTTTCCGTTCCCCTTTCGGACCTACCCAAAAAGGCTCCCAGATGCATCGTCATACCCAAATGTGACCGTCTGCTGTGAAAGTGTTGTGGCTTCCGCCCTTGGCTCTCAATGCTGGAGCATGGAAGGTAGACCACGGTGAAATAATTGCACATGTGCTTGATTTGTCATGTGGGACATCCATGACCACCATTCTCAGGCTGGCGCAAATGATGCGACCACCACACCCATGCACACATGTGCATGTGATAACCGACACGTTCACTTGCTCCACGATGTCGATGGAAGTAAGCAAAGGGCTGAAATTGCCAATTGATTTTGCCTTCCATGTAATTCAGGGAGAAGGTTCTGCCATTATGCGTTGAGCTAGTGGCACTCAGAGTTTCAACTCGCAAACGTTTGCCTGGTCGCCTACGCGCAGCACGCAAGGAGCCCACATGTGAGTTCTATCATTGCCGGAAGCCACCAAGTGGCGAATGATTTTAAGCCATAGTTTCTCAAACCCAACTTGCGTTCCACCTTTGGGGAAATGGTCAGATGCAAGTCATTTTCTTGCCCTTTTGCCCTTATAGGTTTCCTTCGTCTTCCCTTGTCACCAGGCAAGCTCGACTTGTTAGGGGCCCCGTCTGGCCAAGCTGTGGCTAAGGTTCTCCAAAAAGCAAACCTTCGTCTAAAAGTTGTGGGACCCCACAAGTAGTTTGGCTTTCCTTTTCTTGGTGGCTCCCAGCCATCCGGTTCCTTAGCGTTTTAGCCTTTTAGTGCTTAGTGGCAGTTTCCATTTAGCCCACAAACAGTTATCTGAAAACGGACAGCCCAGGATTGAATTTCCATATTGGCAGCTCAGTTTCTGCCGGTCTCATTGCCGCCACAAAGGAGCCTCCGGAGCCCGTCAGGTCTTCTGATGTACAGTTAAACTTTTAGCGGGGGATCTGAAAAAAGGGCAGCCCAGTTTTGGTTTCCTTTGCTGCCAGGCGGGGAACTACGCGGTGAGAAACTCCGCCTTCGGCTTCTTGGTCTGTTTGGCTACCCCGATTTGGCCGCCCAAAACGGGTGTGTCTTTTCATAGGGATCCCCTTCCCGAAAACGCGGTACGGTGCTTTTAGTCGTTTTCCCTCTTGGCTTCCCTGTAAAGACCATCCCAAATGGGATACCCTCAAATAAAGACACCGCCAAAATCCCTCTTGGCCATTTTGCGGAGGTTGTGCCACCTGGGTTATAGCCACAGAACCAAAAGCCAGTGGGTGCTGGGCGGTGCTCACTCCCAATCAGACCAATCTCCAGCATGTGGCCACATTGAACCGCATCGCGGTTCGAAAGTCGGCTAAGGGGCTGGGTTCAATGGGTGTGTCTCAATGGTTTCTCTCCTGATTTCCCTTTCATGCACCCCCAAAGACGGTACCCTCAAAGAAAGACAATTAATGACAATGACTGCAAGTTCATTCGCGGAGCTGTTTGATGAAGTCCGCAGGCACGGTTTTCAGCAAATATTGGATTCCGTTTCCTTTCGTAGCAGGGGTTGTAGGGTCTTGGCTTTTCGGTGATTTGGTGGCAAGTGTATGTTTTTGTTTCCCATGGAGCCGTGGCTGTTTGCTGGAAAGCCCATCAGAAAACGGTTGGTGGACAGACATTGGCATGTAAATGCTGTCCCCAAAGGTTCCAGATTGAGATCACACCCATTTGCGTGTGTGTGTGTGTGAGAGTGTGTGCGGCGATGCATTTCTTGAGGTACCCGTTTAAGGGTTGGTTTACAAATATATTCCAACCAATTAAACACCACCGATTTCCAGCATGTTCTACCCTGGTTGCCCGGTTGTCCAACAAAACATGGTGGGCCAGGCCAGGGAGCTTCAAGTAACCAACCCTTTTTGTTGGTTGGTATGTGGTTGAAATAAGAATGGGTGGCATGTGTTTAAACCAACAGCATGTTTTGTTTGTTTGTTTAAAAAATTGGTTTCTTCCTTAGTCAGTATTTCTGAAAAGCAGATGGTCGCAAAGGCTTGACATGATATCCTCAAGGACGCGGCTATTTGGAGGGAATTATGATTGACCAATCCTGCAGATGGTGGATGGTTTATCCAAGGGTTTCATCCCTGGTGCGAAATGAAAGCCCATCGACAAGACAACAAAAGAAAAACAAAAACAAGACACGCCGCCGCTCGCGCTGGGCTCGCTGGGTTCGCTTGGCTCGCTCCAGGCTTGGAGTTCCTGGACGGCTGGGCCGCCTTCGAGGAGGAGCTGCCGAGGGGCGGCCCCTTGGCGTCGAGCGGAGCGCTGCACTCCGTTTCGTGGGGAGCGTTTCGGGGCGCGTTTTTCGGGGGGGGGCCGGAGGTGGGCAAACGGGCGTCCTTCCATTTGCCGAGAAATGAGTAGTTGTCTTATTTCACCTTTTGCGTTTTTGAGCGTTTTTGGTCATAAAAGAAACCGATTGCACGACTGGACATGTGTTTCTCAGTCTTTCCAGGGGGCAAAAAAGCAAAGGGAAGCGTCAAGGTTTGCTTCAGTCACTAAGCAGCAGCTTGATGGCTTGATAGGCAGGGAATGAGATAGAATGACCCCCGAGAAAAATTATCCTTGCGGCTTTCTTTAAAGGGATCTCCTTCCGGTTCATTCTCAACACCAGTGAGGTCATTCCCTGACAACCAGGGAAACCATGATGTAGAACCTAGAGGTGGGAAACCCTGGTTGTGGCTCGAATGGAAGCACTGGGTGTTGCTGGCCACGTGTCTTTTCGTCTTTGTCGTGTTTTGGTTGGTCCTCTTAATTTTTAGGGGTCTGAGGGTTGGACAGTTGGTTCGTCCAGCTTTTTCGTCGCGAGTCGCTTGGGAAGGCGTCTGGATGGTAGCATCGGAGACATTGGCCTTGACACTAAGATCATGCGAAGTGACACATGAAACCTGAGTGTAGGGCTGAAAGAAGAACCAAGAAGGGATTTTGGCCGGAGCTCCGGAGTGGTTCGGAGCCTCTCGGCTTGGGTTCCGGGGTTGCGGTTGGGGATGCCACCTGGGCTTTGACCTCTTTTTTTTTGCAAAGCCTCTCTGTTGGAAAGCAGGTCTTGGAAGTATGCGGTACCAGGTTTTGAGGTTCATGTAAAACTTCAAGTGGTTTTGAGGTTCATGTAAAACTTCAAGTTTTGTAAGGTCCATGTGAAGCCGTTTTGAGCCAAAAGTGGTGAAACAACCGAGCCACCGATTCAGCAAAAAAAAGAACCACCCTTTCAGCGGGAAGCTGAGGTATCAACCCAGAATGCATAGGCAACCCTCCCGGCCAACATGGGTTCCCCACCGGAAGCTGACGGTTGATACCATTCAGCCCACGGGTTTTCTTAGTTTTCTTCAGGCTGCAGCTGGGGACCCACCCCTCAACCACCAAACCACCGGACCTCCAAGCCACCAACTTAGAAGCTGATTGCGTTAACCTTGACTTCACCCCTTCGCCCCTGGGAAGTTCCGTGCATCTTCAGCCCCGTGGTTCAATCGTGCAGCATGTCCAAAGCGCAAAGGAAAAACCGGGGTGACCGGCCCCACCCACGTTCCGGGTTTTTTTTTGGGCAGGCCTGGAGGTCGCGTTTTTTGAGGCCCATGGGGGTGTGTTGCCCACCCAGTTGCCCAGTGCCCTTTCTTCCCTGTTTTGGGAAGGGCTCCCCTTTGTCGTCAAGCAACCAAAAAAATGCCGATTCTTTTTTCCCATGGACATCCACTGGGCATTTGGGCGTGGGGCATAACCTATGGCTCCATTTTGGGGTAGATGAACATCCATTTGCCACCTATGTTGATGTTCACCAGGGGTACAGGGTTTTGACCCACAGCCATTTGAGTAAAGGCTACCAGTTAAGCAGGGCTCCTTAAAAGAGATTCATGTTGCAGATTTAGCACATGTGGCTTTTTCAACACCAAAATAAAGAATGGAAACAATTACCATTTACAAGTTGCAATGTTCAGGTGTATAATGTAAGGATCCCTGTTTAACATAGGGGACTCCAAAATGGATATGCTTGCTCCTTCGGTTTCCCTTTTAAAAGCATAGAACACCTGGCGCCCTTCGAAAACCCCAGTGGCCCCGTGTTTTTCCTGCCTCCGGATCTTTGAGGCTACCACTCCTCGGACAACGGGGCCATCCACTTGCACCTCTTGCGCGCCCTGGGCTTGAAGAACGAGAAGCCCTGCAAGGCGGAAGCGGCGAAGCGGCGCCGGCGGGTTTCGGGGGGGGGGTTCGGGGGTTTGTGGGTTCGGAGGGGAGGTGCAGTGGAGCGTGTTTTTTGTTTTTGTTTTGTTTTTCCTTTTTTCTTTGTTTGATCGATTTTTGGGAAAACATGGTTGAAACATTTTTTTGAGGACACCCGACCTTTTGGGAGGTCCCCGATGTGTATGAGAGCAAGCCTCCAAGTGGGGGGTTACTTTGGTAGTTGGTGATGTTTAGGGAAAACATATGACATTCACTTGTAAGCCTAAGCATGCGGCTTGTGTTTGAGTCTGATTGTGTGTGTGTGTGTTTGTCAGTGCTTTGAGAAACATGCTGAGCCCATGACCTCTCTAGCTGCGCTTTATTTTGTGCCTGCTTTCAAATCAAGGGTGTCAACTACGCGCTGTTCTGACTTCGATGCTCATACCAAGTACCAAGTAGAACAATTTTCTTGCTGGTCAGCCGGGAATCCACCGAGGTTTGGGAAAGAACCTAAGGATTTCCCCAAAGGAAGTTACAAGGGGATGGTTTTTGTCGGGATAATTCCAAGTCATTCCCTGAGCACCAGCAGGTGGTGTCCGTACTCCTTTCAAACCAGCTGAATACGGTCGCGGCACAGCGAAGAGCTGAACAAATGACATCCTCAGCCTCCAAACAGTGACTAGGGAAATGACCCTGAACACATGTTGGGAACCTTAGAAACACTGCTTGTCACACTTAGAATGAACAACATGCGTATCACCCCACCTCTTGTGACTTGTCCTTTTCCGCTTGCAATACGATAAAAGGACAAACATCTGCACCAATTGGTATGGATGAAGCCCTGGACTGTGTTTTTAGGACACACTATGTGTTCATGCTCCCAGGGCTTCCCCCATTTCCGGTGCTTTAAGAGGAGCACTGGAGCGGCCTGGGCAGCGACCGGAACACCATGGACGAGTACTTTGCCTACGTAGCCTGCACCAGGCCCGCGCGGTCAAATCAGTTTTTGCGGATCGACCGGATCTGACCTTTTTGTAGAAGTGGGCCAAAACTGGGATCATTGTTCTTTACCTGCCATTGGGTTGGATCTTTAGGCTTTGACTTTTGGATTCCCCTCATATGTCCCTTTAACCAGCAAAAAGTTTAATTTTTGGCTCGGGGATCTACAGTACCCAAGTGTTGTGACCCTTTCTTGGGGACAAAGTCAGAGATTCCTTTTAACCTACCACTTGCTGAGTTTGGTCCTGAACGAGGCCAGCACCATCTGCTTACAGGACTCCGATCGGAAAAACCAATATGATTCCTGTCAAGGGAGCCATGATAGGCAATATAAGGAGTTTTGACTGGCTCCCATGGAGATGGGTGCTGGAATTCCTGCGGGCGTTGTTTTTGGGTTCCAGACATCCCCAAAGCACTACCATTGCAGATCTATGTCGGATTAGTAAACCCCTCAGTTTGTGGCCTGCAGGGCCTGGAGGGGATGATCCACTTAACAGCGCCCTTGTGAGTCAGGTTTGTCCGTCAGCATTAAATTGCCCTGCACATGCAAATAGATGTGAGGCGGATAGGAGAAATGTTGATTAGGACCGTAGTTTCCAAGCAACTGTGGCCCACTGAAAGTGCACATTTCCTCTTCAAGGCATGCCAAATTTCTGTTCTCGTTGGTTTCCCTGATTCATAACAATTGCTGTTCCTCGACATTAGCATCCGTGGGTGGGGGGAGGGGTCCATGGAAGATACATTTCGTCTTCAAGGGGCCCTTTGTCGAGTCGGGTGCCACGGCAACGTGGGAGGGTAGGGGAACAAGGGATCCTTTTACCATGGTTTGGTTGAGTCTGCGTTAAATTACCCTCCTGCCCACTAACATGCAACGTAGAGAAGCTAAAATGGTCCAGAGATGGAAGGAGAGCAGGGCTTCACCTCCATTTGTGGGATTGTTTTAAAGGGAAAGTGGAAACCATTTGGGGGGTCCAATAAGCCAAGCCCTGAAACCTTCCATTGAATCCGGCGCATGTTCGCCAGGCTGGTGATGGGCGCGCCGCGGCGCTGGAAAGTTGCAGGCGAGCACCGTGCCTTTCTTAGAGGAATCCGCCTGTTGTTGTTGCTGCTGCTGTTGTTGATTGTTGGTTGTTGGTTGTGGGTTGTGGGTTGTTGGTTGAGTGAGCAGCGCATTAAACCCTGACACACTGACAATACAAAGTGGTAAAGAGGGGTGTCCGGGTGTCCTATAGAATCCCCGCGAAAGCCAAACCGCAGGCCCCAGTGAAATAGAAAGAATTTTAAAAGGTTTAAATCGAACACTTTCTGGGAGCATGCGCAATCCGAGGATGCATGCACATGAACCGAAAAAGGGGGTGGTTGCACAAGTGCCTGGAAACACAAACAGATGTCTGTCAGAACAAGCCGCATTTCGTGAGAAGGCATGGAGAAGTGCACGCCTTGGAAGATCCAGGTATGTTGTTGTGTAACCCTTTGTATATGCATGCCAAGTATCAAAGATTTAAACGGACCGCCCTGACAAATGCAGACCGCTCAAAAGGGAACTCTGCAGGAGTGTCCACCCCCAAACAACCATTCCTAATTACATGTATCGGAATCGGACAATTTAAAATCATACATGCACACAAAACTATGTACGTATAGAGGTGTTTGTATGAGTCACCTACTGTGGTTATGTACCCCCTGCAGGTGAACATCAAACCCAAACAGGGCTCCCTGCCGTGCACTTTACTTTAATGCAGAATACCCTCCCAAGTGGTTGGTGGCGGTTGGTGGGCATGAACACCCATCTAAATGGTGACCACAGATTCCCCAGACAAAACAGAAACGCGCACACACACACACATACATACAAATATATATATATATTATAGATAGGTAGATATATAATTATACACATAGATACAACTTGTGATACAACTGTATACACAAGTGTACATGTTTGTATGTGTGTATATATATATATGTATGCAGATGGATATGTATGTATATAGGTGGGTATGGCAGATGTATGGCAGATGTGCAGCTCAGGTGTCACCATCCTGCCCCGGGGCCATGCCTGGGCCATCGATGGGGGCGACGCCGATAGTGCTGTGAGCTCGGTGGGGGCGATCTCCCACCACGGGCAGAAGACGGAGTCCAACTACCGCCAGCGGCCCGGCTTCACTCCCCCAAGTGTTTTTCGTTGCTTCGGGGGAACTTTTTAATCAGGCAACCCTTAAAATTGGTGGTTTGGACTGGTGATTTGTGGATTTGAACCCACGCACCCCTCTTGGTATCTAAAAAGGGCCATGGAAACCCAAAGGGAGCCGGCCCACATGGAAAACCAAGCAAAAAGAACTAATGGAAACTAAGCCATGGAAGCCACAGAGAAACTAACCCCAAACTTTTTTGGGATACCCCTGGTTTGAGGAACCACCTGAGGGTCTGTTTTTGAATATGGCCGTGTAGCTCGCCGGCATTTCGCCGGAGGATTGGCTGGCCATGAGGGTTCCATTGCGTCCATATTCAGAGGATCCCACCCCACTTCCCCCCCCCTGAATATGGCCTCATTTTTCAGAAGCGAGGGACGGGGGTGAGGGCAAGTTGTCCTGTGATATACGTTTGGTTGCTAATCATGGGGCCCTATGGCGCGTGGCAACATTGAGCACAGCTTTTCGGGGGGAGCATACTTTGCACAACCTGACGCATACACCCTCTTTTGTTTCTTTGTTCACTTGGTTTTCTGTGCAGCTCTTACCCAAAAAACAGAAGTAAGGGGAACATAACAACATGGCGAAGAAGCTGCCAGAGGCCATTTCCAACAGCACCTTTGGGATCCTTTGGGAACTGCACCCAGCCTTTTGGGCGAGTCAACCATCACCTTTTCAGGCAGGTTTGAATTGGTTGGTTCGGGCATTTGAACCAATTGCCCTGGGTAAAGGGAGCCACCCCTAACCTCACCATGCATGAATCAGGGCAAGGTGACCTTTTGAAGGCGCACGTTTGCGAAGAGCTTCATTTCATGTTGGAAAGATGGTAAGGGACCGGCCAAAACGGTGCAAGCCTTTGCGGAGTGACGGCGCAGTGGCTTTGCTAGTTGCGGTGTATCTCATCAAACCCTAATTAGCCTCAGGGTACTGGCTTTGGGGCGACCCTAGGGGTAATGGCTTGGAGGAACCGGACAGCATATCAGAAACACACTTTATGGACATATACCCCTTTGGAGAGCGGAGATGGCGTGAACATCCGCAAGCGCTTTTGGGTCTGCCTGGCATCAGACAAGCAAGTTGGGGTAGTGGTTTGGGCGATCTGATGATGTCCTTGAAACTTTGCTACCTGCGGATCCAGTAGCGAGGTACTTCTCAGATGCCTTTGTCGATGGCGGGGGCAAGAATTGTCAGGCCATGATCAAGGAAGCTCTGCTGGGAGGGGGGTCGATATGTCCCTTGCTTGTCAGCGAGTCGACCTGTTTTCCAGTTATTGTTCTATGTTCTGTCATGCTCCAAACGATTAACCTTTTGTTTCTGAGTATTTTGGTCAGGTCAAGGGAACAAATCAGGTACCCCTTTGACTGGAACCGGGATCCTTTTGTATGCCTCTATAAGAGCCATAAGCTATTAGCGTCTTATAGAGTCGTACGCCAGGGTATGCAGGAAACTCTGGAGAGCCATGTAAGATCCTCGTCATTGTAACATCCTTTTGCACAAAGCTCCAGGGTACGCTTTGGATGCGATCGATTTTGTGGTACTAATTGAAATGAGTGGGCACCTGATCCTCCCGCCAATCAAGACGGAACTTGACAGGGGGAGGGGGGTGGCCTGGAAGACCATTTTCCTTTGAAAGGGACCTGCTGGCGGGTTCCATGTTAATTACTTGCGACCAAAACCTCGTTCATGTAGTGGGGGATCAACCTAGCAGGACGGGTTCTACGTCGATGCCGCAAAGTACGGCGAGGCCCTGTGCCTCGGGCAAGGTCGGTCAGACACAAGGGCGTTCTCTCAAGACAACATCTGCTTTCAGCACTCTTCTTGACCAGACTTAGACCCCCTCAAACAGCTAATTTGTTTCTAGTTGAAGGAAAACAAGGCAAAAGGTTTAAAGGGCAAGCTAAGCCACAGGTGCGACATGCAATATAAAACCTCGATTCTCCGTGTGGAATCCACTGAACTGAGACTGCCAGATCAGACTGCCAGAGCAGACCGCTTTCTTCGCTTTTTTTTGGCGATGGCTCGATCACCTTTTTCTTTGGTACTGACAGATTGTCGGAGCGATCGGTAAATTTGTTGCTACGCCCCATTCTGAAGAGGTACAAGGAATTCAACCGGGGGTATTGCTCAGCAATCCATATGTTTTGCCGTTTCGGGTTCTTTTTTCAAATCTAGGGAACCTGGTCCAAGTTCTGAATGACTTAGTTAAGGCAGCCATTTCGTTCACCCACCTCTCAAGAGTTACAGTCATAGGTGTCCTTTTCGGTTGTTTAAAGAAATGGATGGCGATTCCTGGTTGACCTGGTTGTTTCATAGCCTGCCAGGAAAACCGCACAATTTTCCCAAAAGGCCACGTATGGTCAGAACAGGGTTTTGGAATTTTCGCAAACCAGACCGCGCCTTCTACAAAAGATGGTCACCATGTATCTCTGTTTTTTTGGGGCAACTGAGTTCCAGTTTTCAGGTAAGCCTGAATTGGTGGTTTGGATTGGTGGTTTGGGGGGCGTCTTGGAGAGGGGGGGAATGGGACACCACCCCTGAACCACCAAGAAGCTGACGATTTGCAGGGGTTGCGGGGTCAGTGAAATTCCCCAAATCAACTGTTGATATATTTACCAGGGCTCCTTAAAAGATACATGTTGCAACCATTTGAAACATGGCTTTTTCCAGCAAACTAAAGGGGCGCCACCATTGAATTACAAGGCGCTGCTCAGGTGTATAATGTAAGGAGCCCCTAAACCACCAAACCACTCCTCAACCACCAAACCACCCCTTAACCACCAAACCAATCCTTAACCACCAAACCAATCAACCAAGTTACCAATTAGAGGGATCCGCCTCCAAAATTGGAGCCAAACGTTGTTGATGTCTAATCTCGGCTGCTAAGCAGTAGTTGAGATACTTGCCCCCACAAGGACGGGCCAAAATTGGTCACCTTTGCCTAGGTCAGAGGCTGCACATTCAAGATTGCAATTCACTGAAGGGGGAAGCTGAACTGAGTTGCAGTCTGAGGTGGGGCAAGTTGAAGGCCCGTGCGGACGGGGCGCTGCTGGACTGGACGCGGCAGCATGCGCCTCCCTGGGACTGGGTGTACCTCACCTGCGACGCGGCAGAGTCGGGTGTCGGAGGAGGGGGGGAGGGTTCCTAAGGCTAGAGAACCCTAGGAACCCGAAAGGAGCTCTCAAAATGCCCCCAAAAAACAAAATAGGTTCCCTAAGGCTCCCTGAGGAATAAACAAAAAAAAGAATACCCCCCCTTCTACCTACTCCCCTTTCAACAAAGCCATTCTTGTTTTTTGCGGTTGGACCAAATCATGCGGATGGTAGGTGGTTCACCAGGTTTGCATGCCAACTGCGGGGCGCAACTCATGATTTGGGTGGGGGTTGGGGGTTACAGCGGCTATCTCCACATAGTTTTTCCTATGCCTAAGGGTCGGGGGCCAACATCGACTTAGAGGACTTTGGGTTGTTCAAAGGCAAATCTTCGTCCTTTGAGGTATGTGAGGAAGGGGTTCCCTTTGTAGTGGTTCACCTCTAGGGATTCAGGATGCATGTCGTGGGAAGTTTTCGGGGACGCTGCCCATGCAGGTTCCAGGACCATCTCGGCTCGGAGGCCAAATATTTGGGAGAAGCCAAGCAAGAGGCTTTTAAAAAGGGGTGCCAGACGGACTTTGCCGTGGCTTATCTCTCCTGAGAGGAGCGGCCAGCCCTTGTATTTCTATGACTGCCAGCCCCATAGAAATGAAAGTCGGTTTCTTCTAAGAAAGGGCTTCCACTTCGGTGCTGGAGCTTGTCAACTACTGGAGATGGGGTTGCAGCATTCCTAAGATCACTATGCCCTATCAAGGCCTTACTTAGAGGCAGCCGCAGGACGGGGGTTGGGGGGAGGGGGATTCTAGAATCCCCTGTGCTGATGGCCGCAATCCTGCAAAACATGGACGGAATCTTATGAATACTGGGAGAGGTCGCCCACCAACCGGTGGACCTTGTCCATCCGCAGCCACCGATTCGCCGGCTAAGGCATGAAGACGCTGACTTGCCGACCACTGGATGACGACGAGCAGCTCCATGTGGTCATACCCCGGTGCCTTGATCGCGGCTGAAAGACCCAAGGTAGATTTAGGTTTACTTTCCGACTCCTGGGGCGAACCCATGGGAATGCCCCTGCCATGAGTGGTGAGCGAACCCAGAAGCTAGGGGGTAATTGCGGGTGTCGCAGATTCCGCCTTTAACATATGGATGTTTCAATGAAGGACCCCCCTCCGGGTGACTTCGCTTGAAGCCATGCAAACAGGTGCCTGCCTTGGATCAGACAAGCAAAACGTGTGAGCTTTGTTGGGAGGGTCCAAGGACCGTGCGGTGCTTCTTTCACGCCAAGCGGCATAGGGTACTCCAGCTTGGCGGTCCTTTTGGCTTGCTTTCCACCATCTGAGACACGCCTTTGTCTAATTCGAGGACCACCCGAACAATACCCTACGATGGACAGTACTTGGGGTTTGGGACACCCCGGCAGGAAACCGGGTACCAGATCCATCAAAGTGAGCTTTTTAGTTCATTTCTTCTCGAACGTTTTTTTGAATCCCGGTCGTTGCCTAAGCTTCTAGAGGTTCCCCCAAAATTGTTGGTTTCCTTGTCAAGACCCCTAAATGGTGGTTTCTCTTATTTGGGGTAATCTTCAGGATGTTAATGACATAGATCCGGCTAGGAGATACGATACTGTGGATGGACGAAATCCTGCACCACCTAAGAAACTCTTGGGCCCTGGCAAAATGATGATTCTCCTCTAAATACCAACGAACGTTCTGGTTTCAACCATGGCTTCAAAGTGGTGCGAACGGATGTCGCAGCCATCCACAATGGGTACCCTCCCACCAGCTAACATGGAAGTGCACAGACCGACAAATTTTCTCTTGGAAAGGGCCTTGCGCTTCCAGGTTAGTTGGTGGGAGGGTAACCTTCAGGATCTCAATGTCATGGACCCGGCTAGGAGAGAGGTTTTTCGAAGTCCCAGGCCGGCGCAGTCCAAGCTGCCCTTCGTGCGGGTGCCCAAAAGTGCCAAGTTCGAGGCGCGGAAGCCGGCAGTTACCCACCCGGCCGGTCGTGGATGTAAATTTGCCCGGGGTGTTACGTGTTTGCTTGTTCGCTTGTTTGTGCGTTTGTTTGCTTGTTTGTTTGTGTGTTTGTTTGTTTGTTTGTGTGTGTGTGTGTTTGTTTGTTTGTTTGTTTGTTTGTATGTTTGTTGTGTTTTGTTTTGTTTTGTTTTGTTCTGTTCGTTTGTTTGTTTGTTTGTTTGTTTGTTTGTTTGTTTGCGTGTTTGTTTCTTCTTTTTTTCTCGGGGTCTCCTGGGTCGACAAGTGAAGATGAAGATGAAGAAGAGTTTGATAACTTGATGATAATAATCATTATTATTATCTTGGGAGTTTCCCAGGGGGCCAAGTTTTAGGGCCTGGTGCAATGGCAAGGAATCAGCCTGGTCACCAGTAGGAGGGCCGTTTCTTGTTTGTTGCATTGGTGCTTTTGTGTTGCTTTGCTTTAGGGGGCCAGGCGTTTTTTGTTTTTTCTTTCTTTTTTTTCCGCGCTTTGGCGTTGTGTTTGTTGTGGTGTGCTTGCTGCTTGTGCTTGGGATGCTGTGTTTGCGCGTGGTGTTTGGGGTTTGGTTTTAGTGTGTGTGTGTGTGTGCTTGCTTGCCTGGCTTGCTTGCCTGGCTTGCTTTGCTTTGGTTGCTTGCTTGCTTGCTTGCTTGGTTGCTTGCTTGCTTGGTCGGTTGGTTGGTTGATTGGGTAGCTATCGGCTTTTGGGTGGTCTCCTATCAGTTGGTCATTCATGTGCAACAACGATCAAGACATTGCTTCAGGCATGCCCTGCACTCACCACCCCCGTGAAAGGAATTGTGCCCTCTACTGGCACACTGGCGTATAAACCGGTGTGTCTTGGACATAGGCTGCAAAATAGGTGGTTTCCCTTGGGTTTTCCTTCCAAATAAGCACAGCTTACCTCCCTCAAGAGATACACTTGCCAGGTGTGTGCCGGCGAGTGGGAGCCGCTGGGACGAGGGGGGTTGGGCGCCGGGTGGACCGGTCAAGCCAGTCACAAGGTGGAACGTGGGTTGGTCCCATAGGACAAGCCCAAGACTGTTTGGTTTTCTTTTGGAACCCCTGGTAAAACCCAGCCCAAAAGGGGAACCCGTGAAAATCATGGAGACACACTTTGGTATTGGGCCCCCTTTAGCCTGCCAGAACCCTTGGCCATTGGGTCTGAAGAGCATGGGTTGGTCCCGAAACTCAAAGCAAGAAGAACAAAAACACCCATATACCCTCTAAAGCGGTGTTTAAATCCAAATCCAAAAGCCATCCAAGCAACCAATTGACAGGATGTTCACCCTCCGGATGGCTTGTGAAGGCTCGGGGGTGTTTCCTACAGGAAACTTTCTGCTTCTTGCACAAAGTCCCGTGATCTCCAAAGAAGCTGAGGGGAACACAGAAATAGAATCGAACGCGACGAGTACGCGGGAGAAGTCCCTGAACTCATGCGCAGTGCTCCACGTCCATGGGCGAGTTGCGGTGTAAGTCGCCAGCCTTTTGAATCCAACGTCGTGGACGAGCGTCGCACTACCTGACGGTTTTTCCATTTGCCCAAAACAACAAAAGACAACCGACGGATACTTGTAGCTTGATTTACACAAAGGGAGACCCAAAGACGACGGGTAATTACTTACGGGTACTTGTATTTGTTCTAGACCTTCTACTTGCTGACTGACCCAGGGTGTTGGGAATGCATCTAGGGATTCCCTTAAAGGACACCATATGGGATGGTTTACGGTGAGAAGCAGCAAGTCTATCTAGCACACCGGTGGTCAACCCCAAAAGTTGAGTTGTGCATGCCCATGGCCCGCTTAGGTTGCGAGCTGTAAACGACGAACGAGTTGCTCACAAGTGTATGCCCTTTGCTTTGTAGGCAAAGCCAGGTTCTAATCATGGCAATCCCTGGTTTTTGAAGACTGGCCAACTCAAACCCACCAACCCCACGCAACTCCAAACCTGCAGTGGGTCACAAAACACCTCACCTCTCCTGCGTTTTTTTTTGGGTGAAGCTCCTGGAAGAGCTAGCTCAGGACCTGCAAATGCAAGGGCTTCGCGGCAAGCTCAGATGGGTTGGCCGGTTGATCTGAACCGGGAGCCCACTGGAGCTGGACGGCGGAGCATTTTTTACGTAGGAAGATATGGGCGTGTCTTGTTTTCAGGATTTGGACCCCCTCAAAATAGCGGGAAGGAAAATATGGGCGTGCCTTCTTCTGGGATTTGAACCCCCCCCCCCCCCAAATTGGATAGGCGTTCCTTTTTTCCGCCTCCCTCGAAAACCATCCAAAAAGGGGTGCCCTCAGACCACGACAATCCCAAATTGGCAAGGATCCAACATTCGCAAGGGCGTTGTGGCTTTGTACGTAGTGATAGATATGTTTTGGACTTTGTTTCGAGTGGCTTTCAAAAGAGAATTGCCGAGAGACTGTTGCCTTTTGTGCCCAACTGCACACCCCCAAAGCGTGGCCCCCATTCCCCGACCTTCAAGAATGGCTGGGCAGGTACCAGTATCCTGCATGTACAAGTGTGTTGATTTATTTTGTGTATGTAGTTCATTGTTTGTGTGTTTGTTTATTTATGTATTATTTGCATTTGTTTTGCGTGCTTGTTTGTTTGTTTGTTTGTTTGATTGATTGTTTGTTTGTTTGTTTGTTTGTGTACTTGTTTATTTGCGCACCCTTGGTTCATTCTGTGTTGCAAGGGCACCTGCCCAGCGGCTCCAAAGGGTAAAGCCTTGGTATAGATTTGCCCTTAGGAAGATACATCATTATATATTCGAATCCATGAGAGAGCTATTTCAGTCTGGCGGTTTTAGTTGAACACGCCAAAAAGCCCACGTGAGTGAGTTTCCCTTCATGCTTGACAATTCCTAGTTAAGACGCAACCTAGGCCATCATTGCCAAACTGAGCAAAATGAATCCCCAAGTAAGGGGCCTTCAGTAAGGGCTAAATCGCTCGTTCTGCGGGTCGATTCATCCCTTCACGTGAAATTGTTCTAGGGGACGCTTTCCCATTCTTTGCAGGGATCCCTCTTTTCAGAAAACCAGCAGAATCCAAACGGGGAAACAGCCGGTTTCTGAAAAGAACAATGGTTGAAAAGAAGGGGGAATCAACCCCTAGATCTGTGACATTCTGTGACATACAGTGGATAGACGAACTCCTGCACCAGTTTGAAACAATGGGAAACCATCGCTTGTTGGTATTTACGGAGGAATCATCATTTGAGGGTTTCTTAGCTGGTGCGGGATGTTGTCCATCCACAGACTAGTTGTTTCGGCCGGCGCGATTCATCGTCTGCCGCATCCCCAGGTCTTCTTCGGCACGGAGACCCGGCGCTCGCCGGTGGTCCGCGCGCCGCGGCTTTTGGAGCGGGCGGGTTTGGTCCAAAAGCGTCTGGTTTTTGGGGATACACAATGAGTAGTTTTCAAGGGGAACCAGCAGGAAACCTACCATTTTTTTTGGACGGGTGGGGGGGGTCCGAAATGTGAAGGCAATCTTCCCTTGTTGACTTGTGAGGGGGGCCGGGCTTGTTGCAAGGCAAAGACTGCAGCTTAGCCTGGTGGCGGCCAATGTTGGTGGAGCTTTTCTTTGGGGTGATGTTGGGAAGCTAAGCATCGAGGAGTTGCCCTGCCGTTCTTGTGCCCAGCCAACCCCGGCCCCCCCCCAGCTGACACCCCTTTTGCTCAGTGGCAGCTTGCCATCATCTGGCGACCCAAAGTTTGTCCACAAGATCCATCATGAGCTGCCATTGGTTTGGGGGGCGGGGGGGGGGGGGGAGGGCGCGTTCAACTCAAGATAGATTGGTTTTTGTAGTTGCCTTAACTTTTTTGGCATGTTGCATTGCCCTTGGCAAAAAACGATGCAACGATTTAAATCGGCCAAGTTTCAACCGAATCGTTTGACTAGATTCGGTTGACCATCAGCCGATTTTGGGGGATTTTGGCTTGGGCGATGGAAGGAAATGAATTGTATTTGGCACAAGGTTCTACTCCCCGATGGCATAGAAACGGGTTGTGTATCCCCACCCCATGCTTTCACCCCATGCATGAACCATTGTTTGTTTTGAGGTGCAGGACTGGAGTTGTATCGTCGGAGGTAACCACTCGGCCCTTTGTTTGGTGGGAGGGGTGTGGTTCTTGAAAGTCTACGGGCAATTGAATGCTGCTTGAAATTTTCCGAGCCCTAACTGTGAACAGCACAATGACAAGTCAACCGAAGACGGGAACACAAGGAAGCAGAGTCTACAGCCTTCATACCACATACACCGGGGCTTGCTTCTCCTTCAAATTAACTAGCACAAGCAGAGTTACTTTGGAAAAGCAGTCAATGTGTGGGGTTACTCTGTTGTCCGGTAGTGTTATTGCGTCGATCGTTTGGTGAGCCGAAGATGGGTTTGGGTTGGCTTCAGAAGGTCTGTTGGTTTGGATGTGTTCGCAGCTGCGGGTCCGGACTCTGCGAACCCTGGTCAGCGGCAGGGTACAGCGCCCATGTGGGGTTGCCCGTTGCTCCTTCGGCCGATGCCCACCTCATAAGTCAACTTTAACAAGGTTTGCCAGATGGACCACAGAGGTGGGTGAAAATATAGCCATGTGTGAACATCCAGGTTCAAGCTGAGAAGTCAACTTGAGAGCAACTCCCGGAGTTCATTTCAAAGTTCCGTGTCCCCTTCTTTTTTTCAAAAAAGATCCATGGGAGCAGGAGACCTTCTCCCCCGATCTTGGGGCTGCGATGTTCCCGGCGCCCAGGTGAACGACAAGATCGACTGCCGACGCTCGCTTGCAGACCTTGAATTCGACTGAAGGGTTTGGCTTGGCAGGTTGGCACGTGTGAAAAACGACTCCGCCATTTAGTGCGAGAAATTTGTGGGATTTCCTTCGCAAATTGTAGCCAGAGCAGATGATTAAGTTGAGGTTCCTTTGGCCTGATTTCAAGGCCAGAAAATTGCATCCACCGTTTGAATGCAACATCCCATTCAACAAAGCCGTTGGCCGCTAACCGGGGCCAGGTATGGTGTAGGTGCAGGGCGCAGGGTTTCTTTGGATCGTAAGAAACCTCAAGCGAGATTCCAGCACGACACTCCAATGGACCCAGTCTTTCTCGGAGCGGCCAGCTGAGGCGCGGACAACTTTGAAGGCGACCCGGCAGTTGGGGACATCAAGAAGTGCCACTGCGCGCTGTCTTGATCCGACCATTTCCTCAGCTGTCCAATGCCGACCTTTTGACCTTTTGGGTTTCCCATGTTGGTCCAGTTTTAACAAGTTGGTTTTCCCATGTAGGTCCATGTTTTCCCTTGTTGGTTTTCCCATGTTTTGCCATGAAGGTGCCAAAAGGTGAACCTTTCGTTTCTGGGTCGGTCCTTCGGTCAAGTGAGTTTCAGCTTGCCACGGCGGCAGGCTGAAAGAAAGTAGATGGCAGTGGAAACCAAACGGGGTTCGCTGGATGGAAACAGCGGCGCGGTGTCTTTGGACCTGGCAATCGAAAGCGTTTCATGAGTGAGTAAGGATAACTTGGTTCCTCACAGCCATCCGGTTCTTTAGCTTTTTAGCCTTTTAGTGATTAGTGGTAGTTTCCATTTCACCCAGTAAAAGTGAGTGACTTTTAGCAGGGGATCTGAGGGCAGCCCAGATAAGTGACTCGCACTTTAGCTTAGAATCAACCACGGTGAGATCCACCTCTTGCTGACCACGGCCAAGTGGCAAAAGAAGCTGACGAGCGGAGCGAAGGGCAAAAGGGTGGAAAGTATATACGAGCGGACATATCTCGTAAAAGGAAAACGTCATTCAAGGCCAGCAGGCGCAGCACTTTGTCCTTTGACCTCATTTTGCAGAATCTCAGTTGTTCAGTGGCCCCAATTATTTTTCCTTTTTTTTTGGGTGGCTGCCCCACTAAAATGGTCCAAGCCACAAAAAGGGTTCCTTTTTTTTCCAGGGTCACTGAACAACTGAAATGAGGGAGGCCTTCCGTGGGACCCACAAGGGGTACCCTCAAAAAAGACAGACCCAAACGCATTTGTTTTGCAGAGAACGAGTGAATGGGAAGCTGCCCTCAACCAGCAAGCCACCGGGCAGGGAAGCTGCGATGGATGAGAATGGGAAACATCTTCCCTTAAGGGCCGGGAAGGACTTCGGGGAGTCCTTGTTGTGGGTGACTTATGGTATTTTTGGTGTGTGTTTTGTTGTAGGCTTACCTCTTAAAAACACAACTTTTTGGGTAACATGGGCTGTATGTCTGTAAAAGATTAACTTCCCCAGGGCTTGGAGTTTTTAGGGGTAAGTAGGATGTGGACCCCCCCTTCCCCCCAAAGTGGCGACGTTTCCTTTAAGACCACAACACGAGGAAAGCCATCAACAAAAGGCACACCTGGTTTGCTTGGGTGTTTCTTTTACTGCAAAGGGCACCCTGTACTCTCTTCAAGAACCAGGGGTTCAAGTCGAAATCCAAACCACAAATCCAAGCCGCCCGAAAGGACCCTTCATCCTGCTGCGTGAAGTTGGTGGCAAATCAAAACGTTGGCTGCGACTAGACAGGGCATAGCCAGTTTGAATGGCTGCCTCACGAGTTTCCTCAGAAGATACGTTTCATGTCAAGGTTGAATTTGACTTGCTGATGCTCAGGGAATGACCGAGGAATGAACCTGGGGATTCCCTTTTAGGCAGCCAAATCGGGGATGAGCCAAATCGTCGGGGTCATTCAGGCTCATTCGCTTATCGAACCAGCAAAGACAGAGCGAGAAAGCTTGGATGATTCCAGCCAGATGCACCCAACCCCTCGAAGCACTTGATTGGAAGAATACAGAAACCAGGGTTCCGAAAAGAGGAGAAAACAAATGTCACTTTTACCAGCTGACCTGGAGGATACCCCTTGTTGCGCAGCTGGAGTTTGGATGTATGTTGGAAGGAACCCCCCGAAAATCAGGGAATCCTATGGATTGGTTCGGATTTGGATTTGAATCCCTAGTTCATTTATGCACCCCCTGCCTAACCTCCAAACCACACGAATTGGAGGGAAGTTGAAATCATTAGCCCCTACTCACCAAGGCCTTTCCATCAGGAGGCTTGTGCCTTCCAGCACACCATTCCATGGTCCAAAGCAGGGAAGCAGGGTACAGAAGCCAGGGGCTGAAATGATACTGGGCCACTTCAAAAGTCCACTTTTGCCGGCAAATGATACGCAGCAGGTGTTTGATTGCTTCACCAAGGTAGGTGTTCCCTATGGAATCCCTAAAAACATACGCAGCAGGTTTTTGATTGTTTCCTAGGAACCCGCTTCAAGCTAGATTTTCCCTTTCTCCCTAAGGGCAGGTACAAGCCTCTTGGGTTCCTTGAGTTCTGGTTGCTTGACTCAGGGAACTCTTTGGACCGGCCCCCCGCCCCTAACACAAAAAACAAAAAACGAACACATTCAATGGCCCAGGTGTGACTCCCTCATGCGCAGATCCAGCGACCCCTTCAGAGAGGCAGGGTGCGAAGAAAGCCCATGGCCCACAGCAGATGTGGCCCTCCTTTGCGCTTGTTGCCTTGGTTGTTGGTTGGTTCGTCTTTTTTTTGGGGGGGGTGGGGGGTGGGAGGCAACCGTGCACCATTTAGGCTGACACTTGGAGCAGTCAACTAAGAAATGTTTTCCCTCAAACAGGGTCCTGATTGGATACATTTGGGATAACCACTAGCTGATTAGGATCCGGATCCCTGAGCAGGTTGGAACCCCTTTTTTTGGATGTAAGACCCCCGTTTGCCTTCAAATTGCCTTGTCTTGCTGGTCCAGTGAAAGAAGGAATGACCCCGACGACTAAAATAGACAACAGAAAAAAAGGATACCCTTATTCCAACCTCTCTACTGGAGGACCTAGTTAAGGAAAGATCAAGGTTAGTATGGGGTACTTCCAGCCATAAATAGCTGCGGATATCCGCCTTCTGAATTCGTTACATGGTTCTGGGGTTATGGCCATTGTAATACCGGGTTTTGATTATGACTCTACTAGGCAATGGCATGGAGTAACGGTCAGTTACTCGGACGCTATGAATCCTAACCGCGCCACCAAAGTTGGTTCCAATCCCCCTAGGCCCCACAAAACGCCGCGGCTTCCGCCCTGCCGCGGTGAAGCTTCTAATCACGGCCGTGCCGGCGGTTTTTCAGTGGCTCCACTGAAGGGGCCCATGGCCTGCCAGGGCTCCAGACAAAGCGCGCCAGGTGGAAGCAGCCGCCTTGTGCCAGCGGCTGGGGCTTCTCAAGCAAACAGCGCGGGACCTTGAACTGAAAGCCGAGAGCTGTTTCGGGGTCGGGGGCGTCATGCCAATGACATTTAGCTGTGGTGGTCAGAACCGTTTTGGGATACCATTTTGGTGGGTAGGTGCATTCACCCATTTTAGGTTTCCTATTTTAGTGGTTGGATTGGGATATTCACTGGGCCCCGTGGCCACTTTCTGACGTGCAGACATTGCGCAAAACTCACCTCGACGTTGCAATGTTTTTTTTTTTTTTTTTTTTGCCTTGGTGTTGGTTTTGCGTTCGGATTCCGAGAAGGAACCTCATGGATTGAGGGTGTTCGGGGTCCGAGGGTTTCTTGGTCATGTTTGTTGCCTATTCAGACCTGGTTCCCCTCCACTGGTGGCTTGGACTTGGATTTGACCCTGGCTCTTTGTCCGGGGGGGTTGGGTCCGGACCATATTCCAAGACCTATGCTTGGGCTTCGAAACAGGAGGGAGTAGGACCTTCCTACAGCCCCAAGGAACAATCCTCGGAAGAACAGCTTCGGAGTAGGTTCTAGGAACCCAGGGTTGTCAAGGGTCAAGGGATTTGTCCCCACTTCTGTGATACAAGCGAATCTCCCCCGCTACAACGGGGGTTAGGTTTTTGGGAAGCCCTTTTTGTTGTATCACAGAAATGGTCATTTCCCATAGCCCTGCAGGAACCTGTCCTGGGGCCTTGGTTTTCCTCCCTCGCAATTCACCCAGTTGGCAAATCGACCTCCTTGCAGACACGAGTCGGTCGCCATCCCGAAAGATGAACCTCGGTAGAAATCGGAGGCTGTCCTAGGTTTCCATTTGCAACTCCAAGAGGTTCCAGAAGTTTGCCCTTGAAAGGGGCAAGGGCAAATCAACAAGCACTTCCCCTTCTGGTTGCCAAGGCTCCTTTGTTCCCCCAGACCCCAAGTGACCTTCTCACTTCCCGAGCTCCTGGACTGCTGATTTTGGGAAGACCAGGTTGGTGAAGTTGCCTTTCGTCCTCGGAAAGGGGGCCAAAAGGGCAAACACCACAGTGTTTGTCGCAGGTTTCTGAAAAAGGGGCTGCAAACAGAGTAGAAACTCCTTCAAACCCCTTCAAAGTGATAGCCCAGAGTGGAATCTTAAATACCAAGTGGATTTCTGACAGCCATGCTCAGAGGCAACCTGAGCCACTATCAAAACCTGGGTAGATGAAGGTTAGTAAGGGATAATCCCAGCCATAAATAGTTGCGGCCGCCTTCGTATTTCCTTACGGGTTTCGATTGTGACTTATGTTTCGGACAACCGCGTTTTTTGTTTTTTGTTTTTGGAGTTTCGGAAGCACACGGACTTCTGCCTAGGGAACCTCATAGCGGAGAGAGCAGAAAGGGGTGGGTTTTTCCCTGCACCCCCCCCCCCCCCTTCCCCTGTTTTCCAGAAGAAACAAAAACGGCCTGGTTGACCTCCATTTGCGTAATAATATGTATTATTACTACAATTATTGCTATTATTTTCCCTTGTTGGTTTCAAAAGGAGTTCATCACTACTGGACATATTTTTTCCTGGGGCCTGAAGCAAATGGAAGTTGGAGAACGCCAAGTGTTGGAACCTCGATGTTTTGGGGTAGTGTTTGTTGACCCCTGATAAACAAATACCCCCCCGTTCCCAGTTATGAATCAATCACGGGGTCTAAAGGAATCACTGCTAAAAAAAAGGGACAACCTCATTGCAGTAATAACTATTAGGGTTTATTAATCAGGAATTTCCATTATTGGTGTTCAGTGTTCTCTGCCAAATAGCCAGGTGTCCATGGCAAGAGGGGTGGATCCTATGGTTTTGGTTCTACTCCCGCACCTTTCCCGCACCTTTGCCAAGGCCTCTGCTTCCATTTTGTCGTTGGAGCGGGCGAAGCCCTCAAACAACCCCTGCCATTCAACAAAAGCCACCAGAGCTCCCTTCTTTTCGCAGGGGGCGATGTACGCGAAACCCATAAAAAAGAAAGGCTTTCACGGGGAAGCGGGCGGGTTTGGCCCACGGCGTTTCGTTCCACTCCCGGCCATGGGAGGAGAAGGAGAAAGACCCGTGTTGTTTGTTGTTCCCCGTTTCCTCTTTTCCTTTTTTGTTGGTTGTTGTTTTTTGTGGTTGTTTGTTTGTTTGTTTGTTTTTTTGGTTCCCTGTTTTTCCCCGTTTCCGGTTCGGCACGACTTGGCCGCCGGGGCTCGGCGTTCGGCATCGGCACGGCCTCGTTCGGCGCGGGAGGTGGACTTCGAGGGCCTGGGCCAGGTGGCCGTCTTCGACCCCGCGCTGCTGCACAAGGCCCAGCGCGCCCGGACCTCGGAGCCGGGATCGGAGCCGGGGAAATGGGAGCCGAAGCGGAAGGCGGGGCGAGGCTATGGGCGGGTGGGATGAAAGGGATGGATCCGATTTTTTCTGGGTGGTTTTGGGTGGTTTAGGTTGTTTAGGTTGCTTGCTTTCTGGTTTTGGTTGCTTTGCGCCTATGCTTGGCTTGCTTTCTTGCCTGCTCGTTCGTTCGTTTGGGTGACTTGTTTGTGTGAGTTTGTTTGTGTGAGTTTGTTTGTGTGAGTTTGTTGTTTTGTGTGTGTGTGAGTTGTTTGTGTGAATTTGTTTGCGTTTGCTTTTGCGAGGGTGCCCCACCAGGATTAATATGGAAGGAGATCACTCCAAATGCTGCTGGTTCAAGGTCAGTTTGCAGTCCTTTCCAGCTGAAACGTCCCAACAGGCGGCCCCGTTTGGAGGCAGCTAGCTGTCCAGAGTTTTGTCAGGTTCCATGTTGGCTGGTGGAAGGGTGCCCGTTTTAGGGTTGGTGCGAAGGACACCACAGGGAACCAAATCTTCGGGAACCTCCACTCAAAACCATCTCTACGTGTGGGCTTGGAAGCATGGCAAGCTATATGTATTTGGAGTAGGGCGTTCTCATGTAATTACTGTGCCAGCCTGGCAGCCTACGTAAGTTAGAATGGGGCAGTGGGGATAAAACTTTATCAGGCCAACGTTCGTGTTTGTTAGTCGGGATTTGACTGTGCAGAAGGCTATTCCAGTGATACAAACGGAGTATACTGCCTAAATTGGCCCATACCTCTTGTGCTCCCATGGAAACCTTAGCCTAGACAGCATTCGGTGCCCAACTGGATTCCACCATTTCACCCCTTGTCCAATTTAGGCAGTTTCCGAGGTGGGCATCCAAATCAAACCCGAAATAGAAGCCACCAAGGCTGCTGAATCACCAGTATGTTTGGCACAAGGGCGGAATGTTGCGAAAGGCAAGGATTGTTTGCGGAAATGGCGACACGCGCCTTGGCGAATGGTTTAAGGTTCAATCTTTTTCACAGCATGGAAAGGGTGGTTTCCACGGCGATGTGTCGATTCCAGCCGGTGGTTCGAAGGGAGCAGGGGTATCTAAAATGAGTTCTTAACTAGGGAGCCTTTCGGAGCTACCAGGACTTCTGGTTAGGGACATGGTAGGATGGTGTTTTTTTTTTGTTTTGTTTGGGGGGGGGAGTTCTTTTTTGGGGGGGGCGGGGGGAGGCAATCACTAGGAATTCCTGGCCCAAAGCTGTGCCAAGGTGCTTCAGATGGAGACCTACACGGAGGCTCGAAGCCGCTCCACGTGAGTTCTCCCAAAGCCACACACGTGAGTTCACACTGGAACCCCAAAAAGGGGACCACCATGAAAACCCCCCCCAAATGATGGAACCCCCCAACAAATGCACCCCCGAACACGGTGTCCAGGAAGTTTGCCCACACCCCTGATTTTTGCGGGTGTTTGGCTAGTTTGTTGGAGAAGTTTCTGGAGGTGAATCTTAAACTGCATCTGTTCCAGCTTAGAAACCACCTCAACCCTGCTTATTTCAGGATACTTGGCTTGCCAGGAAAAGGCAAGCTTTTTGCAAGGGCTCCAAGTCTGGCCCTGTATCCATTTAGTGTGGCGCGCCAAATCATCAGCGGGGCTTACTCACCTAAGTCGCGTAAAGGTGTGTCTTTGGAGACTGCACTCCCCGGCAGGGAATCGGTGGGCTTTAGCCTTCCCACGTCTGGCTTGCTGGCGCTCAGGGAGGTGATTCCGAGTCCGGGTGTTGGGGACTGAACCTAGGGATTCCGATTCCCTGGGAGGCCATAGATGATGGCTGAAATGGGTCATTCCTTTTCTCATTCCCTGCCTATGGCACCAGCAAGTAGGCAAGACCTGCCAGAAAGCAAGCGGCGAGGTGAGAGAGATGGCCCGGGTTCTGCTGAAGAACTTCGAGTCCCTCTGCAAGGCGAATCCGATTCGCAACGCGAGACGGTTGCTATTTTGTTTTGCTGAAAGTTGTTTTCCTTGTTGGCTTTGAAGGGAATTTATCATTGCCGGAAACGTGTTCATGTTTTCCAGGGGGCTTAAGCAAATGGCAATTTGGGAAAGGGTTAATCTTAAGACACTTTTGGTGGCCGACCCTCTCCTCCCTGGCCTTTCAGGTCAGCGGGACACGTGACAACAGTCAGCATTTGTCGCTGCGGGGCCATGCGGTGGGCAGTTGGTTTTCCTTCACCTCCCTCCCAAACTATATGAAAAGGTACCGCCCCCACTCATTTGCAGTTTTTCCCCCTATTGATGAACCAGGGGTTGATTAATAACGTGACCGGATGAATCGATCTGGGGCAGTTAGTTCCTTTGGTGCTCTCCACCCCAAAAGTGACCTGGGTCCCCTCCAAAAAAAGAGGTGCACCCGAGTGCACCCTCCAATCAACATCCAGAGGTTCAGCTGAATCCTGGGTTTTGACTGGAACATCCCCCCTAGCACATTTCATTTCTTGGGGGGGGTATTTCTCGAATAGTCCAGGTACTTTTTGGGCTTCTTGTGGGGGCCTATTTCTCTCGAATACTCCGGGCGCTCTTTGGGCGTACATATCTTCCTTTTTGTTGTTCTCGGACGCGTCTTGCTGACTCTGCCCGGGCAGCGACCGCGACGCAACGACAGCTCTTCTTTGCGACGACGGGAGGTGTTTTTTGCTTTTGGGGGCGTCGAACGCGGATGAGAGCCATTGGGGCCGCATCCGCAAGACTTACCTCTTAAAAAACACAACTTTTCAACTTGTTGGGGGTAACATGGGCTATATGTCTGTAAAAGATTAACTTTTTCAGGGCTTGGAGTTTTAAGGGGTAAGAAGACCGAGCCATGGATCGATCCCTTCCGACGAGAGGTGCTGGTGCACCTCAACGACGACCAGGTGAAGCTGGAGCTCAAGGAGAACGCCCGGGGCCTCGGGATGGGGCGAGACAAGGGGTCAATGACTTGGGCGTGGTCGTTTTTGGGATTTGGAATTCCCCCCCCTCCCCCCCCCAAAAAAAAAAGAGCTGGGTTTGACCCCCCCAAAAAAAATGAGCGAGGTGGGTGGTCTTTTTTGTTTTTCCCTTTGAAGCCAACAAAGAAGCTCAGCTGGCATCGCCAAGGACACCTCCAAAAGCTGTTAGAAACGGTCAGAATTATTCAGATTACCGTTTGCCAGAGGGTCCCTGGGACCATCTCAACTGCCTGAAGTCAGGGGCGACTTTGTCCAGAGATGTGCGAGTCTCGGCCGTTTAGACATTTCAGGAGGCCCGAACACAACCAAGGTTCTTTAATTAAATTTTGTTGCAAGGGGTCAACGGTATTCTGTAAGGTTAACCCATGATCGATCTTATCAATACAGGGAGTGCGCCTGGTTGTAGCAAAGTTCACCACTTGTGGAGCGGAACACCCCCTATTTTTCTAAGCAAGGATCGAACAATCTGGGGTCACCCCCCACCCCCTCCCAGCGAGAACGCCCCCTCGACCCCACACGCGTCAGGGTGAGCTGACGGCAGCCATCCTCCGCCTAGAACAGGCGGATTGCAGTGTGGTTTACGTTGCTGGAGCTTTCTGTTCTGGTGCTGCAACTTTTGATGTCAGGAAAGCAAAAGGGGATTCAGCATGGGTGTGCTTGTGGGAAAATAGATGGATTTCCCTGGTAGATGAAATAACGAATCACTCGGTCAGCCAGGAAGCGATTTTTTACCAAGCCAGAAGGGCACCCAGCGGGAAAAGGGAATGGCTATGTCCCCCCATTTTGGGCTACATACTGGCAATACATGGTTTACCTTCCCCTTTCGAGCCGCACGCAGGTGTGGGCAGATTGCCAGTTCATCCTCCACCAGGCCGACCTAAGGGCTCGTAGCCACTTGCCAGGGGGCATTTTGGAAGGCTACAGTCTTCTTGAACAGGCTTTTGTTCACATCCGTGCATCTTGGAAAGGTGTATAAATAGGCAATCCCGATACTATGAAGGGTGTTCTTTAGGCTCGGCGCGTGTTGCGCTGGAGCCTGGTGAAGGGGAAACAGTTTTTTGGTTTTTGCTTTTTATTCGTTTCGCCCCATTCCGAAGGATCCCCGAAGCTTCGTGTGGAGAACCTATGGCTTCGGGCCCTGGGGATCGTGCACGATTTGGTCCCAAACTGAGACGAAGCACGTCAAGTTGCAGATCACCTCTTCTGGATCGGTTGTCCCATGGCCATGTTGCAGTCCCGTTTTGAAGGGTCAGGGGCTTCAAAGGGCCTTAGGCAGTAAGGCCAAAGCCGCGAACAAAAGACCCGCAAGACCCATCACCTCTTGTGGGGATCGGTTGTTTTGCGGGGTCGCATGTTATTGTGCAGGCCCGTTTTGAAGGGTCAGGGGCTTAAAGGGACCTTAGGCAGTGCGGCCAAAGCACGAGACGATACGACCCATCGCTCTCACCAGGCCATGGGACAAAAAAGTCCGCCATTTGCTGTCAGCGTGGCTCAGTTCCACCGCAAGAAATCCGAGCCCCGGGCCATGGCTCGGTGGCTCGCGCTGCTCCTCGTTGCCGCCTTTGGCAAGGAGCCGTTGCCCGAAGTCGGGACTTCGATCCGGGCGATGTCATACGATGTCCATCCCTCAGCCCTGCCATTCACTTCTTTGACTGCAGGGGGGGGGGGGGGGGGGGGGGGGGGCGAACTGATCATTTTCTGGCATCATGGGGTTTGGTCAACCCCAGCCGTATGCCTGTATGTCCAACTTCCCCAGACAGTTGGTTGTCCACCAAGCAGGGGTACCCTCAAAAACAACATGCCGAAGTATATACCAGATGCTGTAGAGGGTCTTGTAAAGCAGGATTTGGGATGGAGCCTTTACTTTACGGAAGCTTGTTCAACACCAGGGTTGTGGGAATGAGGAGGTATTCCAGTACTGCGATACCCGACCTCCTCGAAGTATCTCTATGTTCATCTGTTTTTTCCTTGTTTGTTTATCTGTTGCTCTGTCTCTCTCTGCCTCTTCCTCTTGTCTTTCTCTTCCTCTTTCTCCTGCTCCTCGTTGCCGTTCCCTGCATCTTTCTTTTTCTCTTTTTATCTTCCTCCTCTCTTTTTTTTTTGGGGGGGGGGGGGGCTGTCCTTCTCTCTCTAGCCCACGAAAGTGAACCACACAGACAACTACCCCACCGATTTTCACAGACAGTGGCCGGGCTTCTCGTTCTGTAGCGCAGCTCCCTTCCAGTGAGTCCAAAAACCGAAGCATTCTGCCCGTGAAGAAGCGGCATGAGGGGCTCTGTTGCCCAGTGGTGCCCTTTTTTCCTTGTTTTGGGTAAGGGTTCCCCTGTAAACTCAACCAACCACAAAAGGGTGCCCTTTTTTTCCCATGGGCACTGGGCATCTGAGGGGGCACCACACGAGAAATCTCTTGAAAGCTTCTCAGACATCCACGAATCCCTCCGCGGAACTAACGTGAACCGGAGCTTTCCAGGATGGAGCGGAGATTGCGGGGCTTGGGACCTCATCCATGATGCAGGTTCCCTTTTTAAGAGGGTCCCTCATTTAAGGGCGCGGATTTGTTCACATTCACCCCGAACATGTCCGGTCCATGTATTTTATGTGTGCTTTTACACGCACGACACACATGGGCGTGCTTGGAACCCCGTTCGGAAGGCCAGTTTGTTTGCAGGAGGGCCTGTTCGCTGCAATGTTTGGTTCATGTGTGGGGGTGGATTGGTGGGGGTGGATTGAGTAGCCGTAATTTTGCTTGGCAAGCCAGCTTCTTTTGATCGGCCGGCAAGACGCTCCAGTTCAGGAAAATACTCATGTGGGTGTGGCTCAAAATTACACAGGAGGGGTTACGCAGGTGTTGGTCCATGTTTCCACTTGCCAGGGTTCCATTTTGGTACCGGCTTTTGAGCCACGGCCATGTTTTGGACTCAGCTTGCCTTGTTTCAGGAGGTGCAGGTGCATTTGGCAGTGGACCCAGACGGCGACGTAAGCCACAAGAAGCTTCTGCGATCAGAGGCGAACGAGAGCAGCTTGGAGCTTTGCACTGGCATCCAGACGCTTTGGCATTCTGATTGGTGTTTTGTTCCTTTGTTTCTCACGTCCTGAGTTCCTGGACTTGATACTTTTTGGAAGACCATTTTAGTGGCAAATGAACAGTGTGCAGTTTGAAGTTTGGATTTTTTTTGGGCCGTCCAATCGGAGAAGTGAGGTTTGTTGGGATAGGTGAATCAACGAGCCACATCAAAACAAGTGTCCTTTAGCTTGTCATCAGTGTGCCTATATGTTTTGACGGCGTCGGCGCTGCGATGTGTTGCGCCAATCGTATTTATAGCGGTGCATTTGTATACCAAGCTTACGCAACTTACACCCCCATCCAATTTGGGGACACCAATGCCCCCCCCCCTCCTACCCCTCAAAATGATCTTTGGTGGGGGGGACGGTGTGGCGTGTTGGCCACCCACCCAAAGCAGATCTCCAGTATGTTTGCTCCTTGTGCGCTTTTTTTTCTTCAGCACATCACCTGGTAGTTCAGTTCCCTTTGGCGCAGAGGAACAACTCAGGATGTTTAGGACCGCTCCCTGACGAGGGAAAGCAAGAAAGGCAAAGCCAACTGCCAGAGTCAGAGTTCTGCTAAACTTCTCCCACAAGCACGTTGGTCCTTTTTGTTCATCTGTTTTTCGCCAAAGATCTAAGTTTTTCAGCCTCTCTAAGCATGCTCATGTGAAAAGTCTAAGGACCCTTAGCCCTTTCCACCCTCACAACCCGCAAAAGACGTGCCAGCATGACGAAGCCGGCCCCTTGTTAAAGATGCTTAAGCCACGGTTGTTTCGACAACATCCTTTTGGTTTCGCTTTAAAGGGGGCAGATGGTCTGGCCGGACTTGCGTTGGCAAGGATTTGCAATGGCGACGATGCTGTGGACTGTGGCGCTGCCAATAACGGGGACTGCAAGGATGCGCGGGCGAACAGTTTGCCTTGGGAACAAGGGACTCCTACAAGTGTGGAAAAACAGGGTTGCTCCCAAAGGGGCCTTTTTTAGGCGAGTTTGGGCAGGGTCTGAACTGGATGGATTGCTTTCATTACGCTTACTAGGGCCATCTATTGTCCAAAAGGTTGCCTGTGGTTGCTCCGAGTTCTAAAACGATTAAAGCACGCTTAGACAATGGGTTTGCTGGTTATCCTTGGCCATGGTGATCGTAACCCTGAGGAGAAGTATTGCTGCAGCCGGGGTAAGGCGTGTTTCCAGTGCGGCGGGGATGGCTTCGATTGCAGCAACAGCAAGGTGTGCAAGCACCCCAACGCCCACAGCCAGATCCGCACACGGTGAGTGAAGCGGGTGGCACCCAAATGGGCTGCGAGCTCAGCGAGCTGAGCTGACAGTTGCCCGTGCAAAAATGCCCAGGCCTCTCGTGGGTTGCTTCCCTTGTGAAAGAAATCCCGGGTTGGTTTCAAAGGAAATCTACGCATAGCTATCCAGGGCTCCTTAAAAGATACATGTTGCAACCATTTGAAACATGTTGCTTTTTCAGCATCAAAATGCGGGGAAACCACCATTTACAAGTTGCCATGTTCGATCGGTGTCTAATGCATCCGGATCGCTATTGGATTGTTTGTCCAGACAACTTCAGCAAATTGAAATGAGGTACAGAGGGGTGGCTTTTGGCCTTTGGCACCTGCCGCGCCGGTCCCAAGAAGTGTATCCAGGTGCCCTCGAGGTGCTTCCTCGATGTTTGAATCGTGAGAATGACGACTGGGTCCAGTGGTGCCCGTTGATTTTTGGCTTCCTTTACTAGGTCCCCCAGCGATCGGTGCCCTTTCTCACCCCTTTTTTGGTTGGGAGGGCAAGCCCCTACTAAAATAGACGTCCCGAAGAAAAAATACATCAGGTACCCTGATTTTAATCTCTCTACTGGAGGACCTAGACAATAACTGGGAGGGGCCTTTCTGAAACTTCAGGACCCTTCAAATGGTTGGTTTCCTTTCAAGCTCCGAAGAGACCTGTCTGAAAAACCATGTTCAGCGGGACACAACGCTACTGCCAAATACGCGCCTCACATCTACTACTACTGTGCATGGACGAAATCCATTTCGCACCACCTCAGAAACCCTGGTTTCTAATGATTCCCCTGTCAATACCAGCGTGGTGCGACCTGGGTTTCGCAACCATCCACAGCACAACAGCATCTTGAGGGAGCGATAGGCAGGGAATGAGAAATGGCATGACCCTTGTCAACCATGCCCTATGGTTTCCTTTAAGGGCTAGGTCCCCAGCAGTGCCCTTTTACCCTTTTTGGTGGGAGGTTTCACCTACTAAAATAGACGTCCCGAAAAAAGCGGGTACCCTTATTCTACCATCTCTCTGGAGGACGTAGAATGGCATGACCCTTATCAACCATGCCCTATGGTTTCCTTTCTTCGGGAATTCCTAGGTTAATTCCCTCATTGCCTGCTGAGCACTAGCAAGTTAGTTCAGGTAGCCACTATTTGATGAGTGGTTTGGGGATTTGAACCCCTGGTTGTAGATCCCTGAACCACCAAACCACTAGACTTGGTCTGGATTGGTGGTTTGGGGATTTGTACCCATGGTTCTTGAGGGTAATTGGGACACCCCTTGACTTCTCCACCAAAGTCACCAACCCAAATCACCAATTCGGGGGAAGCAGATTCCCTGAGCGACTTCTGGATTGGTTCCTTCCTTCTGATTCCTTGCGCGCCGAACTCCGTGGCGATCCAAGCAGGGCTGCCTGGACTTCATCGAGCTCCTGGAGCGCGAGGTGCTGCCCCCGCTGAGCCCCAGGCGGGGGTTGCGGCGGGGCGGCAAGTGGCGCCATCCGCGGGTGGATGGGCGAGGGAGGGGCGAGGGATGGGCTTGGGTCACAGGTTGGAGCCTTGAGAATGGGAGTTTTTCGCCAGGGGAAAACGTCTGGGCAAGCCTGGGGGGTCGAAATTGTCTTGGGGTTTTCAGGTGTTTTGTTGTTTTCTGTTCTTCTCCGAGCCAAAACTGATGATGGCTCTTGACTTGTGGATCAAACATCTTTGCATTTTCTGGTGATTGTTTAAAAGGGAATCGTGCACTACGAGAGAAATGTCTTCCAGATAAGCGAATGAAGGTACCTGGAGCCTCCATGACCCTCAACAAATGGTTGGTCATTACCCAAAATATAACTGTTCATGGACCCATTTTCAAAGGGTTCATGGAGACTCCAGGTATTTGATCGTCGGGTCATGGAATGCTTTTAACGAGTTTGCAGATCCTAACATATGGCTCAAAATCCCGTACCCCCAGTGAACATCCCAATCCCCACTAGAATAGGTTCTAAAATGGGTGAATTCACCTACCAACCAAAATGGGATCCCAATAGTTTTGACCCACAGTTTAACTTTTAGTGGTTTAGTGGAAAACCCACTAGTTGGCAACAAGTTAAAGTCCTAACATCCAAGCAAAAAGGACCAAAGTTTAGGTTGGGGTCGAACCGTCCAGCCAATTTTGAGGCAGACCATTTGCAGATAGGCCCTATGTCCGACTCTTTGTTGGATGTGCACCAAAGAGATCGATTCTGACGACCGGATCTTCTGGACAGGCTGAAGTGGCAAATCCGTGTGGCCCTGGAGGGCTCAGGCGCGGACTCTCGGCGGGGTGTGCGGTTTGCGCCGGCGAAGCAGCGGCAAATCAATCAGTGGCGTGCCAACGCTTTCCGCCTTCCCCCCCCCAACAGAAAAAACAACGGAATCCATTGTAGCACCCTTGGCCCCGACTATTCTGGATCTGCGTGGATCTTTCCCAGCTGCAGTTGGGTATTTCGGGATCCTGCGACCCGTTACAATCAAAGACCCTTCAACTGTCAAGGCCTTGTTTGGCCTTTTGCCTTCTTGTACACTCTAACTGTTGTTCAGCTGATCCATCTGGTATTTGGATTGGTGGGTTTGGGGTCTGATCGCCGGGTTCCCCCCGCCACCGAATCACCAATCCAAATCACGAAGTGGTTTATGGGGCCCCTACGATGAACATCACATTGATGGCTCCCGCTTTGGCGCGCATGCCAGGCAAGCAGACGCAGAACCCTGCGGACCCAGGGGGGGGAGGGGCGCATGATGCTTGTTTGAATGGTTTGTTGGTTTGTTTGCTCACCCGACGTTTCTTCGTTTTGCCGGAAGAGCTCGACAGGCACTTGTTTTGCCGTGTCGACATGGAAAATCAAACCCGAAATAGCATCCACGAGAGGCAACTCGCCAACTTGCTGATGTGCAATCCCGTGTGTGCGTGTGTGTGTGTGTGTGTGTCGCAACACGACGCCATGTTGACTTTTTTTGTTGCACGGCTTTGGCACCTTGCGAGTCCTTTCCAAATGGGGGTAGCCCACAAGAGTGGGTCACGATACTTTCCGTTATTGATTTTGATTGTGTCATGTGCAGGCGTGCAGGTGTGGACGATTTTTGTGCGGGGCCAAGGTGAACGGTTGATGTACGGTTGAGGTTTGGTAGTAGGGTGGAGGCTCCAAAAGTTGCTGGGGACCATGGTCCTTGAAGGAAACCATTGTTTGTTTGTTTTTTTTTCCCGGGGTCATGCCAACCTATCGAACCAGCAAGTTGGGGTGCAATTCTTCGCTGGCAGTTGCAAGGTGCCCCAGTAGTGCCCTTTTACCCTTTTGGGGGGTGGGGTGCCCCTACTAAATTAGGCGTCCTGAAAAAAGTTGGTACCCTTATTCTTACCTCTCTACTGGAGGACCTAGGTTTGTTTGACTTTTTGACTACCCCAGGGTAGACTTAAACCCAGGGGTGGGTCATTACCCCCAAAAGGGGAACCCCTGGGTTTAGGCCTATCTTGGGGTAGTCGAAATTTGGAACCCTGGGGAAACTAACACCCACTCTTTTGCACCGCAGTTCCCCAGTTCCCAACCCGCTCGCTCCCTGGAGTCCTTGTCTTGCGGGTCGCGGGCAAGACATGGGATGACAGGCAAATCGCGACGTCTCGGGCAACATGGCTGTGGGTCAAAACCAATGGTACCATTTTGGGGTAGGTGCACCTCCATCTTGGTCTATCTTAGTGGGGATTGAATGGGATGTTCACTGACCCAGGGCCATGTAGGTATTTCAACCTAAGCTCTGACTGAAAGGGGCCCAGCTGGGTTGATTTCAAGGGACCCTGGGTCTGGCTTGGCGTTCAAGGGCCATTGGAGGGGTCATGAGCCTTGGGTGAATGACATTTAGAAAGGTAAGCACAGTGTGCTGCATAAACAGAATGGCCTTCAGGTACTCTTCAAAATGGACTTGCTCATGCGGGTCGCCAGAGGTTTTTAGGCGCTTCTGGCATAGAAAGAAGCTCGCAGCTTCAATTGCGCTTCTGGATCAATCAATGACTTGGCTTTCAGCCGCCTATGCCCACGTTCCCATTTTTTCTAGTAAAGCAAGCCGCCCAAACAGTGGAACTTGATAGGTTCACCGAGCGATTGGCTGAATGTTGTGGAAGCAAGAAGCAAAGCTGGATCATCAGGCCTGTGTCAGAAACCCATCCGGGATTTTCCGGACCTTGTGCTCCGCCGCTTTCAAATCCTTTACCTTCCTACTGTGGGTGGACGAAATCCTTCACCACCCAAGAAACCCTGGGTGTAGGATTTTGTCCATCCACAGTATGTTTGGTCATTTGCCAAGGGCGCAGCCGTGGTGTGTACTACAACAGGGTCTTGGAGTCAGACTCGCCGGCCACCAGAAGATAAGGATATCCGACAAAGAGTCGGACATAGGGATTTCTGCAAATGGTCTGCCTCAAAATTGGTTGGACCCCAACCTAAACTCCGTAGTTGTTGACCCCAAAGACCCCCAAAATGCACCATCTGGAAACAACTGGCTTTTCCAGCAATTTGCAACCTGACAGGGGTGTGCTGGAAGACCACTTTTTCCTGTCAAAAAGGAGCGCCCCGGACGTCAGGTTCCATGTTAGTTGGTGAGAGGGTACAGGGGAGGAACCCGGCGGTCCAAAAGCTGGACACTCCAGGCACGTGCGCGCCAGGAATTGCAGGACCTGCAGGAAGCTCGGGCCCGCGCCCAAAAAAAGAAACAAACCTCGCACGAGTTCGGCTGAGAATGGGTACGTATGTGACTCTGTGTTTTTTCAGGGGGCCGTTTTTCTGAAGGATTCAACACCAGTGCAGGGGTTTTCCATTTTGAGACGCACCCATGTGTCCAAAAAGATGGGCGGGTCAAATTACTCACAGGCCTCACTTGCCCGAATCCTTTGGGGGGTTGCTCCATCTTGACCCAGGGTCGAAGAATTGGTTTGGCGTTCTTCTCACTTCTTGAGTTCCTGGAGCTGTACACTTTTTTGGGTGGACCTGGACGTGGACTATGTTTGGCCAAGCCAATCAGGAACTGAGTCTTGGGTTTCCTTTTAGACAAATCTACTCTGTCTTTGCAGCGGGATGGAAAGAACTGGGTTTGCCCTAGTTTACAAAGTAGTCGTAGAACATCCGCCCAAAAAGAGTATCACAAGAGTGATGTTCCGAAACCATGTCCAAGAGTTTCCCTAGAAAACGTACGCCCGTCGACGAGCATCAAAGTGACTTCGGGGCCCCTCCAACAATGAAACTCGCCCCAGCCATTCCCCCCCCCCAACCACAATTATGCATTCTCCTTTCCCACGCAAACCCCAGCTAAAGCCCGAAGCAGACACAAGACAGCTTTTTTGTTTGGCTAATTACTCTTAATGACTCAATTGTTTCTACTTCTCCCCATTTTGAGTTTTATTCTTGAGGCGGTATGGGTCCTTTGGGCATTTGTTTCGACACTTTTGATTCACCCCCAAACCCCCCCAACCCCCCCCCCCCAAACCCCCGACCTCCCCCCGCTGCGTTGGTTCCAAAGCATCTGACCCCCGAGTACCTTGGCGACGGGTGAGGTGGCGCTGTACCAAACCGTGCCCATGATGGTCTACGTGGACCGCTTTTTGTTTTCTTCGGAGCTGTTTGGTTGGGGTTCTGGGCGTTTTTTTTTGGTTTGAAAGGGGGCGTTGGTTGGGCGTGGGGTTCCATGTCTTCCAAGCGTCTTCGGGGTGGGAAAAAACGTGTTGCAGACTCACGTCTTGACTGCTATTGGGTTTGATCTTTAGGCTTTAACGTTTTGGGAAATCAAGTTTGTGTTCTTTTTTGTTTATAATAATATATATATATTAAACTTACAAAAAGTTAAACTTTTTGCAGAGGGGTCAACAGCAACCAAGAAGTACAGCCTGAATATGGAGCCCACGTCAAACGAATTCCTTTTTTCCTTGGCAGCGCTACGCCAGTGGCAGCTGCCTTTCGCTTTCAAGGGCAACCTCTGGGGTCTTTCCCGGGCTCCGGTCCGGAAGCTGGATGGTTTTCCAACTGAGGGTTATGGGCTATCGCCTTTTTTGAGGGCCCCTTTCTGTGAGTTTTACAAGGAAGCCAGGAGGAAACCAACCATGTTGCGGCGGCCAAATCCCCCCCAAAGAAAAAAAGAAACATGGATTGGGATTGGCCAGCACTAACCATTTTCAATAGAGATATCAGGTTCCAAATGACGAAGGTGATTATTTGGTCCCTGCAGCAACTGTTCTCAGTTGCCTAAAGCGAATCGACCTTGTGACCTTTTGGTTTTCCAGTTGTGGTCCAAATATGGGTGTGTCATTTTCTAGGACCCCCCCCCCAAATGGCTTCGGTGTTCCTTTGGCTTCCTTCGCAACCCACCCCCAGAAAAGCTTGCCTTCTATTTCCAGCAGTGAAGCCTTACATTCGGCCTGAGCTGACAATAGGGGATAGCGACACCTTCAAGCGAAAACCATGAAAGGAAACCCTTTTGGGGATCCCTTATTTCCAGTTTGGCAACTTGAGTGCAATTTGTAGCTGTTTATTCATAGCGTGTATTCACATAAATGCCGAACCACAATCATAAAAGGTCTTCGCCCTTGGCTTGCCCTTTTCTTGTGCAAGCTATGGCAAACCAGGCGATCACCTGATTTTTCCTGGTGCGTCATTTGCGAGAAACCGAAGTCTCATTGTCGGTCAAGCAACCCCGCCCGAAAATCATTTTCCTCAACGTCTGGCAAGCGACCAACACGGCCCCTCAGGTTTTAATGTGTTTTGGGATTTGCATCAGCGCGGGCTTTTTGGGCCATGATTTGCTTTTGCAGTTTATCGGAGGTCACGTTGCCACACCGCGCACGCCCCTTAATTGCTGGTTTGGATTGGTTTGGGGATCGGAGCGCTGGTTCTTGTTTTTTTGAAGCCCCCTAACCTTCAGACCACCAATCCAACCGCCAATGAGGGGGAACCCCCATAACCTCCAAATCACCGAGCTCCAAGGCCAATCGCAGGGAGCATGGTTGTTGTTGGGAAAGATTTTACATTTGTGCTTATTGTGGTTTCGTGGTTGAAACCCCCACTTCGCTGCAAAACAAAATAAATGTCCGCTCCCCTTCCAACGTCAACGGGAAGCTGTGGACCCGTCAGGATGAGCTCTGCAGCGATGGCGACGGCAATCGCCGGGAGCCCAGCCACCTTGAGGGCGCCGAAGTCGGGGCAGTGGGTGGATGTGTCCATGGCTTCCAGTTGCTTAAGAAATACGGATGGTTGCGAAATCCATTTCGCACCACCTAAGAAACCTTGGAATGAGGATTCCCCTGTAAATACCAACCAGCAATGGTTCGTCATGGTTCCAAGTGGTGCAGGATATCCTCCATCCACAGTATGTGTGTGTGTGTTCCCTCAGTTGGTTTTAAAGGGAATCTATCACATTGCGAGTATGGTTTTAGTTTTCTCAGGGGCTTTGGCAAATGGAAGGTAACAAAGAGATAGGACTGGTCCTTTTCCATTTGCCAGGGTTATCGATTTGTGCAAGAGGTCACCTGTGGATGTGTCTTTCGTGTTTTGCCAGAGCATCTCTTGGCTCGACCCTACTATATGACCTGCAACTTGTAACGATTCTGGACCTCCGCACATTGTTTTTCTTGATTCGGGCAAAGCGAGCTCGCTCCCATTAAGGGTCCTGAGTTGGGGATTCTCCAACTGAGATTTGGTATTAATTCAGGTCCCCCAGTAGTGCCCTTTTTCCGTTTCTGTTTTGGGAAGGATCCCCTACTAAAATAGACTACAGCAAAAAGGGTATCCTTATTCTAAACGCTCTACTGGAGGACCTAGGCTATTCTTACCTCTTAAAAAACACAACTTTTCAACTTGTTGGGTAACATGGGCTATATGTCTGTAAAAGACTAACTTCCCCAGGGGGCTTGGAGTTTTAAGGGGTAAGTATTAGTTCAGATGTTTGCTGGAATTGTCTCCCAACGGTTGGTGCCACGCAATGATTTAGAGGTGTATCGGAGACCAAGACCCGAAGCCTTGCAAGATCTTGCAAGGGTGGAACCAATATGAAAAACAATTCTGTGTGGTATGGCAGAATGGTGCCAGCAAAACACCAGCAATGAGGCAGCGACAATCATCGTGTTGGCAGATAAGACTAAAAATGGTGGTCATATCTCGATTGGTTCTAGCGATGCTATCCCAAGCAGCGGCCTGAAAGGGAAAAAAAAACGCCCTCAGCCCGTAGGTCGCTTTCCTGCAAATGTCCGGTTGGGGTGCTGGCAAACACGGGGCAAGTGGAGCACCCTTTATGGGGCCACCCAGCCATATTTATCCATATTTAGCAAGCTGAAGGAACCATGTACCAGGCTCCTGGCAATGACTGCGTTTTGCAGCTCTCACTGAAAACGAGCAGTACCCAGAGGCAATAAAGAAAGAACAATCCAACAAAGAACATGAAAAATAAGGTTATACAGCAGAGCTGGTACCCCAGAAGATCAACAGTCGTGACAAACAATGTAAGCTTTTCTTTTTGAGGGGTGCCCCTCTTGATAGTTCTGTCGAAACTTGAATAGAAGCCAATGCGAGAGCGGAGAACTATTTTTTCCGTGTACCCCGGATGTGCACCAATGCGTCGCCAAACAAAATCAAGGACCTTTCTCTCAACCATGTAAATGAACACCTTGGATGGGTGCAACTGATTCTCACGCATACCCACATGCACGAGCTGAACGGCTGATGGGATTACTGCCTGCCTCTATTGGATTGCATGTAGCGGAGCCATTCCAAGATCTTCCAGACCAGGAACTCGTAAAACCTCGGAGTGTTAGGCAACCTCTTGGTAGTTGCTTTTTGGAGTCATTGGCCTTTAGCAGTTTGCACCAAATTGTCTGCTGTTCCGTCCGCAGCTCTTTTCGCATTGTTGCCAACGAATACATCCCACGACTTGGAGCCGTGCAATGCTTCCCACACCGAAGCTTCAAAAGGCTGGTTTCATGCCGGTTGCCTTTTCAATCTCCCAAAGAGTTGCGTTTCGTGTTGACCGCTAGAGGGAGCGTTTGAGTACGATGGAATATGTCCCTTGATTTTGCAGGTTTGTTTCTCCAGGGCCTCCCACTAGGCCAAGCCTCAAGCCAGCATACTGCAAAATTGGTGGTTTGGATTTGTGGTTTGGGGGGTACGCCAGGGATTCCTCTTTGCATCGGATTGCCCTCAATTTCGAAGAGTCCGGCTCAACATACCCCAAATCGCCGATCTGACACGTCGATCGCTGTCTTGGCCATCGCCGCTCGAGAGATGCGTAGGCACGGAAGAAAAGGTCAGGGCAACATGGGAAGTCGGTGAAGGCAGCTCAGTCCCTGAGTCGGATAACTCGGAGCTTGAGTCACTGATTTTGGGCTTGGTTGCCAAATTATGTGTGATGAACCGTTTGTACAAGCGTCTCGCAAAAATCCGCGCCTCTCCACGTGGCTGAATTGCTTAAAAGTTTTACTTTGTTTGGCTCCACTCGGGAAGTGAGAAGCTGCTCGGATGGTCCTCGGAGCCCTTTGACAGGAATCGAGTCACTGCCCGAGTCGGACTTTCAACTTAGCGCCATGTTTGGGTAAGCAAGTTCTTTTTGGCGAAGTTCGTCACCTGGGAAGGCGTGTCCACGGGGTCCAAAGCAACCCCTCATAACAAGGCGCTTTGGGAGAAAGCATTCCAATTTCCTGCCAACGGCTTGAGCAGCTGACAATGTTGACGCCCAGCAAGGGGCTCATGCAGCCAACTGGCCCCATCGGGTACCAGCCTTTCTACACCCAAGCCCAGCTGCACGAACAATGCCTGCAACCTGCACCCAACCCCAGCTACACAAACACGCAAGACGCCTGCACATGCAAGGGCTCCCAACCCCTGGCACATGCCACACCTTTGCAGACACAGGGCGCCTTCCCCAAAAGCGCGGGCCTCCCACATCCCTCGGACATCTTCTTAACTGCTACTGGCAACGGTTCTTTAGACTTTCCCTTTTTGGTTGACATCAAGCAAGGGGTTTTCCACTAACCCCCCAACAGTTTACCTTTTGTTTGCAGAGGGGCCAACAACAGCCACCAAGTAAACGAGCTCATGAAACTCGCTTTTTGCCGGGGGTCCTTGCAGCACGACGGCCGATGCCCGGGCCACCGCGCCGAGCGCCTTCGGCCGCGCGCGCGCGGGGTGCCGTGAAGGCCCCCACGCGGCGCCAGCTGCGGAAGAGGCGGGGGGTCCATGTCGAGTCGAAAGGGAAATCGTTGCCAAGGGAAACCACCTGGCTGTGGGTCAAAACCAATGGTACCATTTTAGGGTAGGTGCACCACCCATTTTAGTCTATTTTAGTGGGGATTGTTATGTTCACTGGGGGCACGGGCTTTTGACCCATGGCCACCTCGGATCTATACTAAAGGTGTCGGGAAAAAGGGGGGGGGGGGGGGGCGGGCCTGATCCTTTTTTTTACTTGTTCAATTTTGCGAATCAACTTTTAAGCTTTTGGTTCTTTTCCCTGTTTGGTCCACTTTTGGTAAAGGTCCCAAAAGGTGAAGCTTGTATGTCCAGGTCCTTTGGGCAACTGAGATAATTTGAAGGGCTCAAAGCATTGAAACCTTCCTAACGGGGGAGAACTTGATTTCCCTTGGCTATTAGAGGCAACCAAATGGGGGAGCAGTTGGTTGTTCTTTCCAGGTCCACTATGTGGTGCCCAGTCATAGGCGGGCTCTCATTTTTAATCAGCTGGTTACACGTTCGAACATTGAGTTTAGTGAGAATACAGGATTTCTCGGAGTTTGTTTGATCTTTTTGTGCCAGTTGCATTTTTGCAAGGACCGCCGTGGCAAGGCGTTGATTGGAAGTCTGAGGCACTTGGAGCTCAGTGATACCATAGTCAAAAGCTGGTTCAGAGCCATACTGGCAAAATCAAGCGGTTTGGATGAACCCCGAATCAGCTGAAAGCAAGCCAATGACCAGGGCCATTCAGGCTCTTTTTTGGCTTTGAGGGTATCCTTCAAGTGGTTCCAGAGCAGGTTGTGGAATGAAAGGGTTTTTCCCACAACCCTGTTCTATAGGTAGTAGAAAACCGCAATCCGTTCTTTAGCCCCCTTCCCCGGAAATTCAACACCGGGGTTCTCTTTTTCTGGGGTAGAGGTGCGGAGCCTGGCCGAAGTCGCCGGGAAAGGCCGTGAGTTACGCATTTGGGTGATGGAAAGGAGTTTCCTGCGGGGTGATATTTAAAGGGGCAGATACATACAAATATTCTAAACAAAATATTATATACATACTTGTTTTTTCAAAGATAGAACAAATACATAGGAGTGTGTGGGTGCGCGCGTGTGTGTGTGTCCCTGCAAATTGGATTTTGGCAGGGGCTCGACTTCATTTTTTTGGTATGGAGATGTTGGACCCCTCATTTTGCCCAGGTTCCAACAGGTGGTCACTCTATATGTTTGGTAGCTGCGGTCTCCTTGGGTGGTTTCAAGCGTCACCTTTCGGTAGCCCAACTTGAATGGGCCATCCCTTGAAGGTGCTGTTTAGATGGGTGCATGCAGGGCGCTGGTTCATGGCCTTGGTCTTTTGTTGCTGGGAAGTCCTTCTGGCAACCCGGCCCCCCCAAAGAATGCCGCAATTCTCCTAGGATCCAAACTGAGCCACAATCAAAACCCGGGTAGATGAAGTTAGTATGGGACAATCCCAACCACAAATAGTTGCGGATATCCGCCTTCTTAGTTCTTTACATGGCAGGTTGAACATTTTAATACTGGGTTTTGATTACTCAACTGTTCCTGCCCCCCTCCTTCTCAGAAGGTTACTCAGCAATGTTGTGGTTGTTGTGGTGGTTGTTCTGCTTTCTAGGAAGGCCTTTGGAATTCCTAGGCTGAGTGCTTTGGAGCTGGAGACCTGCGGGTTGATCGATCCCAGGATCTTGCGCAGCATCTATGACGATTCCCGGCCTCTACACCTGGCTCAGGCAAGCTTCGCGGGCAAGAAGCCTCCAGCAGCTTGAGCTGGGTATCCAAAATTGCTTGAAGAGGGAGCCAAGGAGTGACCATGGGTCGTATATATATATATATATTATTTGAGAACATGGTAAAGAGGATCCGAGCCCAACCCTAGCCTCCCCGCCGGCTATTGGCTGGCTGAGTTGCGGTTGCCCGGTTGCCCCGGTCCATTGGACAA